TTTGTCAGGCCGCTGGTGACCCTCGACCAGTAATCACGTGGGTTAAAGAGAATAGCGACTTGCCAGTTGGAAGATCACAAGTCAGTGTGAATGGAACACTTCAGATATGGAATATTAAAGATGAAGACTCGGGAATATATATCTGCACAGCCACATCAGCGCAACTGTTCAAAACGTCTTCTTTAATGCAACTAACCCTTAGGAAAGGTAAGGAGTGGTTTGCCTCGGTAATTGTTCATCGGGCAGTGATCTATTTTTCTCCACATTAAGTAAAATAAACCTAGAGAGCTGAATATGACAGTTGACGGTGACTGAATATCCAAGTAAGGTTTCGTTTCAAGCGGAATTCATAATCAGAGTCAAGTGAAGGGTGATCTATTAATCATCATAAAGAATTGCATGCAGCTGGATCCACTAAGTTATCCCTTCTTGATTGATGAATACAAAATCAAAAACGAGGATAAAATGAGAGCCAAGGCATAACAAATCATTCATAATCATGTGAGAACACTCTCCAATAACCAGTTGTTTTTGTTTACTTCACTGAAACGTGTATTAAGAACTTTGAAACCAAACTACATGGCACTGCGTTTTTAGATTCCCACCAGAAATCAAATCGTAAACTGACTGAAATGTAAGAATAATTCCTAAAGAGCACTGCTTCCCTCTTCCCCCGCAGTCCTTTGTGAGGAATTTGTTCGCTCTTTCTCTATAAACGCTAGCTGACTCAACGCGTAATATCTAGGGTCTCTAATAATAGTATTGGAAATTTCATCGCGGATGCGAGGCCATAAGATGGAATAAAAAAAATGAATGATTGTGTCACCTGTTTTTACTTAGTGTGCGAGCCTATTGGTGTGGTGGACAGAAACAGAATACCAGACGCTAAAATGACTGCAAGCAGTTTTTACCGTGGTAGTTATCATCCTTTCTACGGTCGACTCAATGAGAGCAGAGGACGAGGAGGGTGGTGCACTAAAACTACATCTGACAGAACAGACTATCTTCAAGTTGACATGGGTGAAGTGCGTTTTCTTTGTGGTGTGGCTACACAAGGACTACAAGATAGCTCTGCATGGGCCACCAGCTACAAACTACAATTATCTACAGACGGTATAACTTGGAACACTTACAAGGAAACGAATATTGAAAAGGTACGGAGAGAACTGTACGTAATTGACGTTTTCAGGAATTATGAGTTTGAAGTCAATGCAAATAATTAGCGGACAGACATATACTTAGATAACGAATTTGGACACTTATCTTCATTGGCTACTGTAGCAGAGAACGCCGTCGGAGATTATAAGCTTGTGTATAACGGATTTTCCTAGACCACTAGCTATAAACTACACCTGTCCCCCTGTGGACAGTGTGGTTTAACAGTGTGGTGCCTGTGGTTTAACTTAGCACGCTTACAAGGAGACAAATATTGGAAGGGTGTGGACTGCAACTGAGATTAGCAATTATGAAAATTTAAAGTTTAAAGTAAATACAAAGTATCGGCTCATACACTTAGTTGAGAGTCGATGTTCATACTGACGTTGTCTTACACCAGCCTGTGCTTGGTGCCTTATAGAAGTCAATGACCGCAAATTCTTCAACTGTTGAATTTTTTTTGAACGTACATTTGTTTCGGGGGTCATTCATCACTCGGACTACTATTTCCCGAGTCTATTGAGCCACAGCTCAAATGTGCTTTTTTGCCTTTAAAACTCAGCGCTCTGATTCAATGATTCTTAACATCCTCTCCCCAACCAATCACCTTCGCTTTTTGTGCTACAGACACTGAGCTCTAAAACTCGAATTATTTAAGGTTCTTTCTATTTTTAGGTCTTCCAAGGAAATTCAGACAGAAACAGCATTGTGAAACATCCACTCGGTGCTGACGTCAAGGCCAGATACATTCGGTTTTATCCTGTTACGGATTACGGTCATCCTTGTATGAGGGTTGAAGTATACGTGCTGCTAAATTGACAAAAAAAACTATTTATTAGTCCACCAGCACATGTGTACATAAAACTGCCCCAATAAGACAAGGTATGGCTCATGTGGCCATGCTATTCAGACCGCAGATAATAAACGAAACGTAAACAAACGAACAAGACAACAACAACAACGACAGTTGTAGAAAATAAGCAAAATAATTGTTTCTATTTACACGTAGTCATTAAAAAACAAATAACAGCGAGGGGAAGGAGACTTTTTTCGGAAACGGGATTTCTGAGAGGAAACAAAGAAAACTGAATTTCGACGATTGGGACAATGGATAAGAAGGGTCTTGTAGATGCCAAATAACCTTGTGCTTTTACTTCAAAAGTTCGGAAATCTTTATTTTCAAAACAATAACCTATGTTGGTGTTAGTAATTTTTTTAAAGATATTCAGTTTGATGAATTGTATTCGTGTAGTGGAAAGTGACATCTGTATTTTTATAAATAAAGATGGTAAGTTTCTAAAGAAACTGTGATAATGCATCGTTGGGATAGTACAACTGGGTAGTTTAGTATTATGAACCGAGTTGATAATGTAAATTGGCCACAGTAGCGACTTTAAAAGCTGACGTTTCGAGCATTAGCCCTTCGTCAGAGCGTTAGCCGTTCGTCAATCGCTCTGACGAAGGGCTAATGCTCTGAACGTCATCTTTTGAACTCTTTACAAAGATTAATTTACGTTATCAACTCGGTTCATAATACCAAATTACTCTGTATGATTATGTCCTGTACAGTAATATTGTCGAAAAAAAAAGATAGAAAAATATTTTCAAAACAAAAGCAATATCAAAACGTTGATACAAAACATTTTGTTGGAATTAGTATAGCTAAAGCTATACTAAGTATTGATATACTTTCAGGGGGCAAACTGATGGGATGAGATACTGCCGTCCGATCAAACATGACGCACAATATTTAAAAAAAATAATGTATTCTATCTATACCATTATTCCAATATAACAAATTCTGAAATTAAAAAAAAGGTTCCTAACAATTATGAATAAACAGTGCACAGCAAATTACTTTTAGCTATGTGGAGTTGAGAAAGTTTGAGAGTGTAAGATGAGACGCAGTTTCAATTATTGTTTTCTTGAATTTATCACAACCGCAGGCAATAACAAATTGTGCACGTGTCTGTCTATTTGCCTCTCCGCACTTGTCATAACATTTCCTCCCGGTTCTTATCGTTAAGTTTCCCTGTTTGTCGCTTGTACTGAAAGCCATCTCAGACCGAGCTATTGGAACACTTTGAAAAATAAATGAGTTGTGTTTAACCACCCTCGATCATCTAGTTTCTTTTAGATCTTTCTCATTTCCGCCAAAGATTTTTTTCATATTTTCCCAGCTACCTGATAGAGTTGCGTGACTTCTGAGCTGAAAGTGCTATCAAATTTAAAAGCAATGTGCTATAACAAGTTGCTTTCGAGTTCAATCATCTAGTTTTCGTGATGTCTCTCAAAGATCGTTCTTTTCCAGTGAGTCCTGGAACGGCTCTGTCTGTTTTCTGTTTGCTTCTTTACTCTGCTGGATTCATTCGATTCGAGACAAAGTTCAATGATTATGAACAGAGGTTGAGGACTGTGGAGGAATTTATGCCTCAAGATAAAATGGAACAGGCACGGCCAGATTTACATTCGGCTGAACAAGGTGAAGTCAAAAACTGTCTGTAAAGTACAATCATGGTTGTCTTGATTATTGCGAGGCATGCTTCTTCAAACTGATTTCCGTAAGATGACTTTAAGTTGCAAATTACTCTAACCCTGTACAGACTAAGATCTTGTTGATCGAATGTACTAGCGAGGTCATAATCACGTTTCATCGCCTCTCCCATTTCCGTCGAAAACTCCTCGATGCACCACTTTCGTCTCTTTCCATTTTATCGAACTAATATCTTGTAGTCTCATTTTGCTATCTGCTAACAGACATTCTATCAATGTTAAATCATCACTCAGAAGACGAGCCGGCAAATAACGAACGACAAAGCTACTCATTATTTCAACTTTTTATGGCGTTGTTTTCTTTGTCTACGAATGTTGAATTCATCGCACTGAGAACTAACTGGACATCGCTGACACCTTGACCTCTCGTGTATTTTAAGAAAAACTAACTTCGCCTCGCCGGCGGGAACTTGTTTATTCGTCGAGAACAATCCGTAAAACTTAAAACTCGTAAAATGTTCATGTTGCACGTGCACGTTTGTCAGACATGATGGTCATGAGAGGTATTTATTCTGTTTTCGGAGGAAAAAAACAAGCAAGCAAGTCGCTTTTATTATTCCTCGGCTTCCCAATATTTTCAATAAAAAATTGGAAATGATTCGAGGATCTCTTCGCATGAGTTCAGGAATCGGTTAGCAGCGTATTTTTAAATTTTATCATGTAGAAAATTTTTAGCCTAGTTAGCGAGTTGACGTTTGAACCCAATTACTCTTATACTTGATACTCTTTAGAAGTTTCAAGAAACCTTTCAGCGTTACTCTGGTGAAAACTACCAACTGCCACGCGTAAACTTAGTCCATTCGAGACCGTGACCGACAGTCTGATCGGAAGTGTATAATTATAACTTATAAGTGTTGACAACCAAGCGATATTAAACTAAGCTCAAGCCTAGAGAATTTGTCAACCAAAAAAGCCAAATTAATTTTTGGAAACGCTTGACATTTCTAAACAAATATCTGATATTCTTAGGATGTTTCAAAGAACCTTTCGGTGGAAATTCTGAGAGAATTTCCGGCTGCTGGGCATTTTGCCTATTTGAGACCGTGCCCAGCTGCGAAAAAGGAAATATTTGTGGATGGATTAAACTTCATTTGTAGTCATTTTGGTAATTAAAAACAGTTATCCAGTTATAATTAAAAATTGAAGACGACAGTGCGTCCATATACGCGCATCACGTTCCCCGTCTAGAAATTGTGATTTTTCCTCCCGCCCCACCCTTCCCCTCCTCACCCTACCCCACCCTGCCCCCATCAGACAAACTCACTACTTAGGGAATAAATGGTGATCAAAATTGCGAGAAAAACGAATAAATCATTGTAGCTTTTTTTGTTTCTTTGTTTTTGTTTGTTTGTTTTGTTTGTTTGTTTTACTGAAGAAGGCAGTAAAATGCCATTTTAAGTTACTCTCTTCCTTTATTTGATACATTTTGAGTAGTACCCATCACCTCCAGGCAACCGCAAACCTTCCGTCTGAAGCGTGGTATTTCACATCTGCCTCCTTTCAACAACTCAGCAAAGATAAGAGAGATGATGGAAGACATCATTTCTTTTACATGGAAGGAAACAAAGGCAATTTGCAGCAACAAAGGCAATTTGAACGTATGTCCCCGTGGGCGGCCGGGACCTCCGGGGAGAGCTGGACCAAAAGGTGACAGGCGGAGGAAAGGAAGAAAAGGATCCCAGGGACTCATGGGACCACCAGGAAGAAGCGGAAAACAAGGAGTCATGGGACCACCAGGAATAAGAGGAGAAAAAGGAATAAAAGGAGACATCGGGCCACCGGGTATCCCTGGTATCCCAGGGACTAAAGGTGAACCAGGCGAATCCATTTCAAAGCCGAAAGTAACAATTTCTCCACCGAAACTAATTATCAACGAAACCAACACAGCCTCGTTCTTATGCTCTGTTTCGGGAAATCCAGCAGCTCAAATATTCTGGTCAACGGTCAATGGATCGTCACCTAGCAATAGGACTAAAGTGACGTCAAATGGTCAGATGCAGATCGTTAGTGTTCGGATGGAAGAGGCAGGCGAGTACAAATGCTTAGCGCGAAATATTCTGGGAGAGGAGGAAAAAACTGCGATTCTCGTCGTACAAAGTAGGTTTAAGTATTATGTACTTTTTGACTGAGTGGGAGGGCTGAACGGGAAAATATCTGGCTCGAGTAATGTACACGGCCCTACCATGGTTTTCTGTGGGATTGTGCGCGCGGGGCTGTAGGGGGCATATGATAAACCATCTTTTATTATTGCTACGACTCTATAACTCGAAGATCAAATCTCGTTATTCCGATTTTTTCACCTTTTTTTACGATTGAGGGACACAGAATTTCTAGTCCTGACTGATAAAAGAGACAATTTTTTTGGTTCCGAGGATGTCCCATGAAAACAGGATTCCACTGTAATACGCTGACCAAAGAAAAAGCTAAACGTTGTTTGAAAGATAATTTGAATTGAAGGAATTTTTAGCTCTAAAGATGAGCCTCGTCTTTGTATGAGATCCACGGATGCAATGGCAGTTATTTCCATTATGCATAATTATTTTTCCAAATATCCTACAGATAAACCGAATATCTCACTCTCCCCTGGGCCCACTTATTTTGAAAAAGGCAAGAACATCACGTTACCAAAATGTCACGTGACCAGTTTTCCTCCAGCCGTCATAACGTGGTCTAGAGTGCGCGGTGAACTTGCATATTCCAGGACTGTTGCGGAAGACGGACAGCTGTCGATTATCAGTGCTCAAAAGAGAGATTCTGGTTTGTACGAATGCAAAGCGTCAAATGATTTGGGTGACGACTCAGCTTTGACACTTCTAAGTGTTTTGGAGCTGCCACGATTCACATCAAATCCTCCTGCTCAGCTCAATGTTAGACAAGAACAAAATATTTCAGTCTCATGTCAAGCTGCTGGTGACCCCAAACCAAAAATCATGTGGGTGAGAGAGAACAGCCAGCTTCCAGTTGGAAGATCACAAGTCAGTCCGGAAGGAACACTTCAGATATGGAATATTAAAGATGAAGACTCGGGAATATATATCTGTATAGCCATATCAGCGCAATTGTTCAAAAGGTCTTTAATGCAACTGACTGTTGGTAAGGAGTGGTTTGCCTCGGTAACTTTTCATTGGGTAGTGATCTTTTTTTCTGCACATTAAATAAAATAAATCTAGAGAGCTGAATGTGACATGTGACAGTGACTGAATATTCAAGTAAGATTTCGTTTCAAGCGGAATTCATAATCAGAGTCAAGTGAAGGATTATCTACTTTTCGTCATAAAGAATTGCATGCAAAAAATAATGGAGACGTCAATCAGCTGGATTCACTTAGTCTTCCGTACTTGATTGATAAATACAAAATCAAAAACGAGGACAAAATGAGAGACAAGTCAAAACGAATAATTCATGATGTGAGAACACTCTCCAAAATCCAGTTATTTTTGTCTATTTCATTAAAACGTGTATTAAAAAGGTTTTGATTTTGCATTCATCAATCAAGTAGGGAAAACTTAGTGGATCCAGCTGACTGACGTATCCATTATCTTTTGAATGCAATTCTCCATGATGAGTAATAGATAACCCTTCACTTGACTCTGATTATGAATTCCGCTTAGAATGGCCATAAGATGGAATAAAAAACTAGAATGATTGTGTCACCTGTTTTTACTTAGTGTGTGAGCCTATTGGTGTGGTGGACAGGAACAGAATACCAGACGCCAGAATGACAGCGAGCAGTTTTTACAGTAGTTATACTCCTCCCCACTACAGCCGACTCAATGAAAGCAGTGGCCATGGAGGGTGGTGCCCTAAAACTAGATCTGACAGAACAGACTATCTTCAAGTTGATATGGGTGAAGTGCGTTTTCTTTGTGGTGTGGCCACACAAGGATTACTGAGGGGCTCTGCATGGACCACCAGCTACAAACTACAGTTATCTACAAACGGTACAACTTGGAACACTTACAGGGAAACGAATATTGAAAAGGTACGGAGAGAACTGTACGTAATTGACGTTTTCAGGAATTAGGAGTTTGAAGTCATACAAATAATTAGCGAACAGAAATATACCTAGGTAGTGAATTTGGATACTTAGCTTCATTGGCTATCGTAGCAGAGAACGCCGTCGGAGATTATAAGCTTGTGTATGACGAATTTTCCTAGACCGCTAGCTATAAACTACACCTGTCCACAGGCGGTATATATAACTTGGAACATTTATAAGGAGACAAATATTGGAAGAGTGCGGATGAAACTGCAACTGATATTAACAGTTATGAAAAAGTTTGAAGTAAATACAAAGTATTGGCTCATAAACTTAGTTGGTGAATTTGAAAATTTATCCCGTTAGGCTTTTACAGCAGAGTTTCAATTCGGCACTACTCCCCCTGAAAAATGTGAGTCATGTTACACATCAGAGGGCAGTAGTCAGTTATTCACTTTGGTTGTAGGGCGTCCATAAGATTTGACAATCAACACTATGAGAAGTACTCATTTAACAGATCTGACTGTATACATGAATATAGATATATTTTTGTTTGTTTGTTTGTTTCCTCGTTAAAAAGGTGATGAACGAACGGTGCATTGTCTTATATCAGCCTTTGCGTGATGCCTTATAGAAGTCAATTATTCACTTTGGTGTAAGACACGCATATTCTTCAACTGTTGAATTTTTTGAACGCTCATGTCTCGAACTACTATTTTCCGAGTCTATTGAGCCACAGCTCAAATGTGCTTTCTTGCCTTTAATATTTAGCGCTCTGAGTCAATGATTCTTCACATTCTCTCCCTCTCCTGTGCTCTAAAACTCGCATTATTTACGGTTATTTTTATTTTTAGGTTTTCCAAGGAAATTCAGCCAGAAACAGCATTGTGAAACATCCACTCAGTACTGACGTCAAGGCCAGATACGTTCGGTTCTATCCCGTCACGTATCACACTCATCCTTGTTTAAGGGTTGAAATATATGTGCGGCTAAATTGACAAAAAAAAACTATTCATTAATCAACCAGCGCATATTGACATAAGACTGACCCAATAACACAAGGTATGGATCATGAGGCCATGCTATTCAGACCGCAGATAATAAATGAAACGTAAACAAACGAACAAGACAACAACAACAAAGACAATTGTAGAAAATAAGCAAACTAATTTTTTTTTATTTACACGTAGTCATTAAAAAAAAGAAAGCAAGGGGGGATGAGACTTTTTTCGGAGATGGAATTTCTGAGAGAAAAGTGTTAATTGTTTTTGTGAAAGAACAACAGAATGTCTAGCAAGGACCTCTTAAACTCCTACACAGAAAACAAATAAATCTGAATTTCGAGGATTGGGACAATGGATTAGAAGGGTCTTGTACATGCCAAATAACCTTGTGCATCGGTGGAATAGCATAACAGGGTAGTTCAGTAATATGAACCGAGTTGATAATGTAAATTGTCCACCGTAGCGAGTTTAAAAGCTGACGTTTCGAGCAATAACCCTTCATCCGAGCGTTAGCCTTAATCAACCACTCTGACAAAGAGCTAACGCTCTTAACGTCAGCTTTTGAACTCTTTACAACGGCTAATTTGCGTAATCAACTCGGTTCATAATACTAAATTACTCTGTATGATTATGTCCTGTACAGTAATATTGTCGAGAAAAAAAAAATCGAAAAATATTTTCAAAACAAAAGCAATATCATAATCAAGGAATTCGCTGATCCTTGAGCTGGATGACCTGCTAAAGCAAGAATGCATACAGCAGTTTGTAGGAAGGTTGCACACACACAAAAACAAAAGCATAAAAGTGCACAACCCCTAATGGCATTATGGGTGGTTTTAAGGTCACGTTTGCTATGTAGAATGTTTCAAAAACGTGGAAACAAACATTTTGTTGGAATTAGTATAGCTAATGCTATACTAAGTATCGATATACTTTCAGGGGGCAAGCTGATGGGATGAGATTCAATTATTGTATCCTTGAATTTAACACAACCGCAGGTAACAACAACTTGTGCACGTGTCTGTCTATTTGCCTTCTCGCATCTTGTCATAAAATTTCTTCCTAGTTCTCATCGTTAAGTTTCCCTGTTTCTCGCTCGAACTGAAAGCCATTTTAGAGCTATTGGAACACTTAGAAAAAAGTTAGTAGCGTTTGACCACCTTCGATCATCTAGCCTTTCTTGGATGTGTTTCTCATTTCCGCCAACATGACGAGCTTTGCTTATTTTTTTCAGCTACCTGATAGGGTTGCGTGACTAAACCTTCTGAGCTGAAAGTGCTATCAAATTTTAAAGGGTCAAGTATCAGGAATATGCCATAACAAGTTACTTTCGAGTTCGATCATCTAGTTTTCGTGATGTCTCTCAAAGATCGTTCTTTTCCAGTGAGCCCTGGAACGGCTCTGTCTGTTTTCTGTTTGTTTCTTTACTCCGCTGGATTCATTCGAATCGAGACAAAGTTCAATGACTATGAACGGAGGTTGAGGACTGTGGAGGAATTCATGCCTCAAGATAAAATGGAACAGGCAAGGACAGATTTACATTCGGCTGAACAAGGTGAAGTCAAAAACTGTCTGTAATTTACGTTCATGGTTGTCTTGATTGTTGCGAGACATGCTTATTCAAACTAATTTATATAAGATGACTTTAAGTTGCAAATTACTTAAACCCTGTACAGACTTAAATCTTCTTGATCGAATGTACTAGCGAGGTCATAGTCACGTTTCATCGCCTCTCCCCTCTCAGACGAAAACTCCTGGATGCGCCACTTTTGTCTCTTTCCATTTAATCGAACTAATATCTTGTAGTTTCATTTTTCTACCTGCTAACAGACATTCTATCATTGTCAAATCATCGCTCATAATGCGAGCCAAATAAAGAACGACGGGCAAAGCTTCTCATTATTTCGACTTTTCCTGGCGCTGTTATCTTTGACTACGAATGTTGAATTCATCGCAAAGTTGACTAACCGGACTTCGCTGACAGCTTGACCTCGCATGTATTTTAACTGAAACTATCTTCGACTCGCCCACGAGAACTTGTTTAATGATTCGTCGAGAACAATCCGCAAAAATTGAAACTCTCAAAATGTTCGTATTACACGTTAGCCAGACATGATGGTAATGGAGAGTATTTATTATGTATTCGAAGAAAAAACCAACCGTCAAACAAGCCGCTTTCATTATTCCTCGGCTTCCCAATATTTTATATAAAAAATTTGAAATGGCCATTTCAAATGGTTAATCGGTTAGCAGCACCTATTTTGAAATTTTATCACGTAGGAAATTTCAGCCCACTTGAGAGTTGAGTTTTTAACCCGATCACTCTTATACTGAATACTCTTTAGAAGTTTCAAGGAACCTTTCAGCGATACTCTGGCGAAATCTACCAACTGCCGCGCGTTTAGTTCATTCGAGACCGTGCCCGGCAGTGTGATCAGAAGCGTATAACTTCTAAGCCGGCATCGACAACCAAGCGATATTAAAGTAAGCTCAAGCCTAGCGAATTTGTCAACTAAAAAAGCCAAATTGATTTTTGGAGTCGCTTGACATTTCTAAACAAACGTCTGATATTCTTTAGAAGTTTGAAAGAACCTTTCGGTAGAAATTCCGTGAACATTTCTGGCTGCCGGGCTTTTGCCTATTTGAGACCGTACCCAGCTGCGAAAAAGTAAATATTTGTCAAGGGATTAACTGCATTCATAGTGCTTTTGGTAATTAAAAACATTCTTCCAGCAATCCTCAGGCAAAATTAAAAATTGAAGACAACAGTGGATCCATACTCGCGTATTCCGCTCCCCGTCTCAAAAATAATTGTGGTTTGTCCATTGTCAATTGTGGTTTTTTTTATTGAAAAAGGCACTGGAGTGCCATTTTGAAGTTACTCTCTTTCTTTACTTGTTACATTTTAGAAGTACCCCCCACCTCCAGGCAGCCGAAAACCCTTCGTCTGAAGCGTAGTATTTCACATCCGCCTCCTTTCAACAACTCAGCAAAGATAAGAGAAATGATGGAAGACATCATTTCTTCTACATGGAAGATTTGCAGCAACAAAGGCAATTTGAATGTGTGTCCCCGTGGGCGGCCGGGACCTCCGGGGAGAGCTGGACCCAAAGGTGACAGGGGGAGGAAAGGAAGAAAAGGCGCTCAGGGAATCATGGGACCACCAGGAAGAAGTGGAAAACAAGGAATCATGGGGCCAACGGGAATAAGGGGAGAAAAAGGAATAAAAGGAGACATTGGGCCACCGGGTATCCCTGGTATCCCAGGGACTAAAGGTGAACCAGGTGAATCTATTTCAAAGCCAAAAGTAACGATTTCTCCACCGAAACTAACTGTCAACGAAACCAACACAGCCTCGTTCTTATGCTCCGTTTCGGGAAATCCAGCAGCTCAAATATTCTGGTCAAAGGTCAATGGATCGTTACCTAGCAACAGGACTAAAGTGACGTCAAATGGTCAGATGCAAATCGCTAGTGTTCGGATGGAAGAGGCAGGCGAATACAAATGCTTAGCGCGAAATATTCTAGGAGAGGAGGAAAAAACTGCGATTCTCGTCGTACAAAGTAGGTTTAAATATTAAGTACTTTTTGACTGAGTGGGAGGGCTGGACGGGAAAATATTTGGCTCGAGTCATGCACAAGGCCCTACACATGTCCGCTTTCACCATGGTTTTCTGTGGGATTGTGCGCGCGGGGCCGTATGGGGCACATGATAAACCATCTTATATAATTGCTACGAGTCTATAACTCCAAGATCAAATCTCGTTATTCCGATTTTTCCACCTTGTTTTTTTACAATTGAGGGACACGAAATTCCAAGTCCTGACAGATAAAAGAGACACTTTTTCTGGTTCCGAGGATGTTCCGTGAAAATATGATTCCACCGTGATACGCTGACCAAAAATAAATGCTGAATGTTGATTTGAACGACAATTTGAGTTGAAAGAATTTTTAGCTCTAAGGATGAGCCTCGTCTTTGTATGAGATCCACGGATGCAATGGCAGGTATTTACAATATGCATAATGATTTTTCTAAATATCCTACAGATAAACCGAAGATCTCACTCTCCCCTGGCCCCACTTATTTTGAAAAAGGCAAGAACATCACTTTGCCAAAATGTCACGTGACCAGTTTTCCTCCAGCCATTATCACGTGGTCTAGAGTACGCGGTGAACTTGCATATTCCAGAACTGTTATGAAAGACGGACAGCTGTCAATTATCAGTGCTCAAAAGAGAGATTCTGGTTTTTACGAATGCAAAGCGTCAAATGATTTGGGGGAAGACTCAGCTTTGACACATCTCAGTGTTTTGGAGCTGCCACGATTCACATCAAATCCTCCTGCTCAGCTCAAAGTTAGACAAAAACAAAATATTTCAGTTTCATGTCAAGCTGCTGGTGACCCCAGACCAAAAATCATGTGGGTGAGAGCGAGCAGTGAGCTGCCAGTTGGAAGATCACAAGTCAGTGCCGATGGAACACTTCAGATATGGAATATTAAAGATGAAGACTCGGGCATATATATCTGTACAGCCACATCAGCACAACTGTTCAAAACATCTTCTTTAATGCGACTGACTGTTAGGACAGGTAAAGAGTGGTTTGACTCGTTAATTTTTCATTGGAAGTGATCTATATTTCTCCTCATTAAGTAAAATAAATCTACAGAGCTGAATGCGACAGACGACAGTGATTGAATATTCAGGTAAGATTTTATTTCGAGTGGAATTCATAATCAGAGGCAAGTGAAGGGTTATCTATTGCACATCAGAAAGAATTACATGCAAAAAATAATGGAGACATCAATCAGCTGGATTCACTAAGTTTTCCCCACTTGATTGACGAATACAAAATCTAACGAGGACAAAATCAGAAGCAAAGCAAAACAAATAATTTTGAAAATGAGTTAGGGACTGGTCGAACAGTACTGATCTTTAACTCAAATATAACTGAAACTACACCGCGTAGGTTACAAGCGACTGCTGCTCTGGCGAAAAAAAAGATAACGGAGAAACAAAAGAATAAAAAAGAAAAATAAAAATCATTTCACGAATAAGCGAAAAAGATGAAGTTATCGATAAAATTCGTTGTTTGAGCCTGGAATGTCATTCTGTTTACCTCCTAATCATACAAGCAGACCCCGGGGGATGGGACGAAAGAAGAGGTCAAGGAGGTTCGTTTGCTAAGTAATAATGAAAATGGTGGCTTCCTTCAAAATTAGGAAATCTGAAGATAAGTCCCAATAGTCTAGGATACTATATTGGAATATCAAAAACTTGTCAATATTAGAATGTAATTTACAGCTTTTCATGGAAAGATAAAAATCGCCTAATCTCTGGAACATACTCTCATCTGGTAACAACATCAGCCCTGTTTTTGAGCCATTCCAAGCATATAGCCAGGGGGACTTCTAAAACTCGATATTAACAAGTCGTGTATTTATCGATACTCAATCAGTTGCTGCTATATCTCTACCCCTAAGTTCTCTAATAACTGTATTGGAAATTTTAGTGCGGATGCGAGGCCATAAGATGGAATAAAAAAACAAGAATGATTGTGTCACCTGTCTTTACTTAGTGTGCAAGCCTATTGGTGTGGTGGACAGGAACAGAACATCAGACGCCAGAATGACGGCGAGTAGTTCTTACAATAATGATTACCGTCCTTCCTACGGCCGACTCAATGAAAGCAGTGGCCATGGAGGGTGGTGCCCTAAAACTAATTCTGACAGAACAGACTATCTTCAAGTTGATATGGGTGAAGTGCGTTCTGTTTGTGGTGTGGCCACACAAGGAATACGGGGGAGCACTATATGGACCACCAGCTACAAACTACAATTATCTACAAACAGTATAACTTGGAACAATTACAAGGAAACAAATATTGAAAAGGTATGGAGAGAACTGAAATTGACATTTTCAGCAATAACAAAGAATTTGAAATCAATGCAAATTATTAGTTAACAGACATACACTTAGATAGTGAATTTGGACACTTATCTTCATTGGCTACTGCAGCAGAGAACAACGTCGGAGATTGTCAGCTTTTGTATAACGAGTCTGCATGGACCACTAGCTATAAACTACACCTGTCCACAGACGATACAAGTTGGAACACTTACAAGGAGACAAATATTGAAAAAATGCGGATGAAACTGCAACTTTTGTCTTTAGAAGTTATGAAAGAGTTTGAAGTTAATACAAAGTAATGGTTCATCCACTTAGTTGGTGGTTTTGGACACTTATTTTCTTGGGCTTTTACAGCAGAGTTTCAATTCGGCACTATTCCCCCTAAACTATGCCCATGTTCCTAATATTTGACAATCAACACCAGGATAAGTGCTCATTTTTACAGATCTGACTGTATACATGATAATGTGTATTAAATATATACATCTTTTGTTTCATCATCAAAAAGGTGATGAACGATGCATGTATATTTCACATCAAAGGAACAACATCTTTTTTAGAGAAAGACGTTTTTTCGTCTTTTCACGAGCGTGGGACAAAGAAGAAATTCTGACCAAAAAAATTATTTTTATTTTTAGGTCTTCCAAGGAAATTTAGACAGCGACAGCATTGTAAAGCTTTCACTCAGTACTGACGTCAAGGCCAGATACGTTCGGTTTTATCCTGTAACGTTTTCCGATTACCCTTGTATGAGGGTTGAAATATTTGTGCTAAATTGACCAAAAAAAACATTCATTAATCTACCAGCACATATTGACACAAAACAGCCTCTATGACACAAGGTAAAGATCGTAAGGCCGTGCTATTCAGACCGAAGATAATAAACAAACATAAACAAACGAATAAGACAACACCAACACAGACAATTGTAGAAAATAAGCAAAACAATTGTTTTTATTTGCACGTAGTCGTTAAATTAATAAGGCAAAATAACAGCAAAGGGGGATGAAACTTTTTTGAAACTGGGATTGCTGAAAGGGAAGTGTAGATTGTTTTTTTAAAATAACAGCAGAATGTCTGGCTAAGACCTCTTAAACTTATTCACCGTAAAACAAAAAATAAATAAATACATTTCGAGGATTGGAACGAGGGATTAGAAGGGTTTTTTATATGCCAAGTAACCCTGTACTTTCACCTCAGACGTTCTTCATTTTCAAAACAAAAATATTTTAGTATTTTAGTAATTTCTTAGGTATTCAGTTTTATGAATTGTATAAGTGTAGTGAAAAGTGACGTGCGTATGTTAAGTCTTGTACAGTAATATCGTCGAGAAAAAAAAAAGAAAATATTTCCAAAACAAAAGGAAAAACAGCAACAAAAACAAGGAATTCGTTGCTCCTTGAGCTGGATGACCTGCTAAAATAGGAATGCATACTGCAGTTTGGAATTAAGCAAAGTTGGTGTTTTTAATTAGGTTAGCAATAAAGGTAATTTTAGGTAGTTTTTTAATTTTTTAATTTTTTTTTTCATTTGCTTTTGTTTTACACGTAAGTCATTATTGTAAATAACACAAGTATTGTGACAAATGTTAGTTTGTATGTATATTGTAGATCAAAAACTGTTTTTAAAAAATGCTTTTAGTTGGGAAGAACGGAATTCACAATTATTCGAGTAGTTCAGAAAAGTCTTAAGAAGGCAAATATAGCAGCTTGATCGTATGAATAAAGGTTTCCAAAAATAAGAAGAATATTAGATAGTTAAAAATGGTTTCAAAGCCAATTTTTTTTTTTTAAGAGAATTACTGAACTTTGTCAAGAATCATCGTGGAATATAACAATAGTGTTTAGTTTCGCCTCGAAAGGGACTCAGTTACCCAAAGGAGCGGCTCCTGTAACCCACTAAATTTTTTCCTGCCGGCCAAGCACTTGCTGCAGCTAGTATCTTTATATCGTGCAAAGTAAAAAAAAAAGAAGATAATAAAAGGCATTATTCTTCTGAAAACCTGCTTCAAAGTTGTGTCCTGTTCTCCTAATGACGGATGCAAAGTGATTTCATGACGTCATTTTACATTACGTAGTGCTTTCAATTTAGCTCAGTTTGATTGATTCACTTTGATTGTCTTAATTGCTGCTAAAAATATCAAAGCTTGGTGTCCAATCAAAACGCTTATTGCACCACAACAAGAAATCCAACATGGCGGTCGAGGTTGGTTATAAAAACGGCTTTGGAGCTGTACAACACTATGCGATCTTTCGGAATTATTCCGTGATCCACCGTGTGACACATAAAAAGCCATGGTTTGGAAAGAGAGAGGGAAATATGGTGTCAAAACGGGACGAACTGTTCGCCATCCTTTTTCTCGTTTTCGTGGCCACGAACCGGAAGTTTTACTCAAGTTTACAAGAGGAACAGAGAACATGTCCGACAATGAAATGCAACAGTTCCTTGAGGAAAACGATATAGAGGATGGCCTTGGTGATTTCACTCTCTCGTCCACTCGGCATCTGCGTGCTGGAAGCGGAGTACATATGTCTAGCGTTGTGTACTCCTTAAAAAAGCGAAAACGATGGCTGTTATCTCAACAGTCAGATGAAGCTAGTGGACAAGACACAACTGATGCTTCGTTTAGGCCCAGTGTTGCTATTATACGTCGACGGATGCGACAAAAGGTCGATGCAGATTGCATCTCTGTCCACAAAGTCAGAGAAAACGAAGTGTATACTCCTCAAAAACGCAAATACACTCGTGTGCAAGATTTAATCAAGAAGAGTGACTCAACCGAGTTGGAACCTGAAATTGGTTATGAGCTGTCCTACTGGTATCCTAGCAACGAATACCCTGAATGCAGCGAAGGATCCCCGACAAATTATCGTTGGTCTTTTCAGTATTCTCTCAGAAATCCACGCAAATCACGATGCAAGAACAAGGGCGTGAAAAACAAGGGTTGCCGGTGGGGTCTTTGTTCTGACAGAGAGCTCAGGAATGAAGAAGTTTGTAAAGGTGAACGCTGTCAGACATACTCATCACATAAAGCCTCTGAGAGTAAAATTAGTGTAATGGATGCAGAGTGGTTTAGTGGCTGGAAGACCCCTAGAGAGACATTCTCCAGGAATAGTACTGGGTTTGATATTGGTTCTTACATCAGTGAACTTTCTAGACACCCATTAAAGAAAAAACAACAGAAGGCAAAACCAAGACATGGTGAAGATGAATCAGTGACTCAGTGTTTTAAGTATGGGAAGAAGAGTGTTGTTTTCATTGATCCTGAGCCAAGCATGAACACATCCCAGAATCCAACCACTGTCCCTCTAATGATTCCTCCATCAGAGAAGAAGCTGGCAGCTCCTTTGCAAGTATTGGTTTGTGACTTGGAGCCTGGGAAGCTCATCATTGACTGGAAAGACTTGTATTTGGAAGGAGGAAGCTTGCCTAGGAAGTTCACAATTGACCTAATTCCTCTTCTTTCTCCTAGTGGTAGCTTTACCAATGAATCCTGCTGTGTATTGTTTGAAGTGACCAGCCAGCTGAACTGTGAAATGAACTGTGCTACAGCAGATGTTAGTTTGCATGCCACAAATACTCCGGACCTCTCTGGTGATCTTTGCAATGCAATCACTAACTTCTTCATGGAATTGGAAAGTGAGAAGAAAGACTTTTGGAGAGTGTGCGATGTAGTTAATTGTGCAGCTCGTTGCTTGCAATATTGTTACCAGTCTTTGCCATCTTCTATGCAAGACTCCCACAACCATGCAAAAACATGGAATTCTACCAATGTGCTTGGTTCCATGTTTGGATGGAAATCAGACATATTCTCGCAAAGAGAAATAAAATCTGAACTAAGAGCAAAAATCAAGAAAAAAGATCTGCTCAGCATGAGTGTTCTGATGGGCCATAGAACAGATGATGCTGGAACTGCAGAACCACTAGACAACTTTTGTGGTATATGCTACTTGGAATTGGGTAAGGTTTTTCAAGTATTAAAATTTAAGTCAATATATAAAAATGACAAGTTCCTTGCAGCTCTACAGGCTTTTGCTTAAAAGTTATAATGCTTACCTGGTTCCTTTTTCCCAACTAGTCCTATATCCAGGCTTAATTTTTAATGTACACATTACATGTTTATTTCTTAAACAAACTGCATATACACTGATATAAACTAATCTGGTTCAAGTGAACTTTAAAACTGAAATTACCTGGTCATGAACTGGTCTATATGCAAATTAAAATGATTTAACCCTTAAAACCAAAAGAGTGACCAGCATCTAATTTCTCCTTAGTCAGCAATACTGCTGAATCATTCATTTAGATCATGGCAATAAAGAAAATGATGGCCAACCTAAGAAACTTTGATTATTAAATTAATTCTCTTTGTCAGTACCAAAGGAAATGTGTAGAGATTAGTAGAAGGAATACAGATACTGATGTTTGGGTGTTAAGGGTTAAGGAGGTTTAAAAGTTGGAAAGGCAAACATTTTATATCATTCTTATTTTGTACTGAAATGTTTGATACAAATGTATGTTTTGATTCAAATTTCAAAACAGTTTTTGGGTTTTTATCGTCCCTTCCCTTATACTTTATAATCACGTTGAAAATATAAATAAAAGAGAATTAAAAACTGATATGAAAAATATTATAACTCTCTTACCACCAGTGGTGATAAACATGTAGCTTCTCATTACAATATCCATTAACTTTTCCTAGAAAACAGTTTGTGAGAATACACAAATTTATCAGGTAGAAGTTGTTATCTTGATCTAAACTGCTAAGTTCTCGTAACTTATTTCCATGCAAATGTGTAGCAGCTAGAGAGGAGAATTAACAATCAGATCTTGGGACTTTAAGAGCTAAAGCAAAGGAGAATAATTGACTTTACATAACATAAACTGTGTTTTGTATGCACCATTTTTCTCCATCACTATCTGCTGTTCACAATACAGTGGTGTGGTTACTGACATTAATACAATTTCATTTTATTCTAATGAGTAATACACAAAAATTTTCAATGTTGTGCAAAAATTATGTACTGTAATCCTCATGATCATGTTGTTTGTAAGTATATCAAATTTATATTTAGTTAAACAAATTTTTTTCCCCACAGAGAGTGAACTTTTGACTCCCTTTACTGCTCTAAAACACTGCCAACATACCTTCTGCAATCAATGCTGGGAAGTCCACCTGAAGACGCAGATCAGCTTGGGGAACACAGACCTGCAGTGTCCTGGACATAAGTGCAATGTCTGCGTTGACAAGGCCACTATTATAGCTTTAGTGCCTACCTGGTATGACAAGTTCCTGTCACAGAAAATCGACAAAGTCATAGAATCCAGTTCAGAATTGAGGTGGTGTCCCTCCAGCAAGTGTGTGAAAATTTTTAAGGTCTCTATATCTGGTGCCATGGCCAATAGAAGCAGCCCAGTCTCTGTAGCTTGTTCTTGTGGAGGGCTATGGTGTTTCCAGTGTGGTAGAAATGCACATTGGCCAGCTTCATGTGCAGGTGAAGTGAAATTCCAGGAACTCACCAAACATATTCATGCAGAAATCGAGCAGAAGAAAGAGGATCTCATAACTTCAGTCATGGTGCGAAATTGTCCAAACTGCTACTATCCAATAGAAAAACACCTTGGCTGTAGTTTTATGTACTGTATCATGTGTCAGACGGCTTTCTGCTGGGAGTGTCTAACCCCCATGAGCAAACATCAGGGAGAATGCAAGCAAAAGGTGCAGTCAAAGGAAGTGGAGTTGGACCTTATCAGCTCAAGCAGTACTCATTTTGCAGAATACTTTTCAATATATCTCAAAAACAAGATGGCACGATCAAGCAAAGCTATGTCACATCAAAGAAAGCAACTGCGAAATGTTGACAAGATTGTAAAATCCTATGAGAGTCTGAACAGCTCACCTATCTTCGCATTTGGTGAAATTGTGGAAAAGATTCTGCAAATTTGTAGTTGCAAAAATGTACTAAGGAGTGCAACTGAATTCAAGTTTTACTCCCACTTGACACTCGAAGGTGCAGCAAAGATGGCCATTTTGTCAAAGTCCACATCTAAAGATGTAAGGCAACACATGAGCCGATTGCAATTTATCATGGAAAGAATTGACGAAATCTTAAAGAGTGACTTGACAGAGCTATTACAGAACAAGCATTTGAGAAAACTGTCAAGATTACTACAACATGGAAATGATTGTGTCTATGCAATTGTGCAGTTTCTCTCTGATAGGCAAGAAAAACACAGGCCTTGAATAATTTAATGGACCAGATGAGCTGCACTGCACTCTGCTTTGTTTTCTTGAATGCTAATATTAATGTTGTGGTGCAGTATAGAATCCACAGTTTGAATTTCATTTTTGTTTGGTTTTGTGATAGCACGATTTTCTTAATGATTTTCAAGGAAGGAGATCAAACATTTGAACTAGTGACCAAATTGAACAATAGTATAATTTCTCTTCATATTAATGTTTTTTTATACAAAACTGTCAAAAAATTAGAATGGTTATATATATATATATTTTTTTTTTTTTTTTATTTTTTTACATACTCATACCTTGAACTTAGCCACTTTTATTAGTGACCAATTCAAATTCTGTAGCTCGGACTTTACCGCGTGAACATTCTGGAGTATTTCACAGAAATAGGATTCAGTTGTTAACCCTTTCCACCCTAGCATCAGTATGCATATTCTCCATACTGTTCCCTATACATTCCCTAAGATGCTGATGAGGAGAATTTGTTTCGTAATCCAGAGCTTCTTTAGTTGGTGACCATTTCCTTTATTCTCACTAACTTTAATGTGTGATTTGGGAGATATTGTAAGGAGAAATTAGATGCTAGTCACTCTAGCATCAGTAACAAACCAAAAGGACAAAAAACATGAAAAGAAAAACATTTATCAGATTGTAGTAACCTTTAGTATTCTTACCTTAGCACAGATTGATATATATTTAAAAATCAAGGTTTGTGTTTCTATCATACTTTCAGTCTAATATTGAAACTTTAAATATACTTTACTATGAAGTTGATGAATGCAAAAAAATTACTTCATTGCAATTTACATGGATACTAAAAATTGACAAATTTACCATCACGTTGATGTCAATAACTAAAGTCATATATGGAAGTGGAGGTGAATAGTGGTGGATGTTTACTGAGCTGGGAAGTGGCTTGGTAAATATCCACCGCTTTCACCAATACTGAGGCGAATATAATTGTTTTAGAATATCAGTACCATACAAATACCAAAAAAATTAGTTTACAAATAAGAACATTTCTTTAAAATATGGTTGGATATTAAATCATTGATGCACAATGTATGGCCCTTTGCCTACTGGGAGGTGAATAGCACTTGTTATTCACTTCCAAACCAGCAAATCAGTGCATGTGAAAGGCACTCCACCTACAGGGTATGTGGTATATACTAATATTGTTTACAAGGTTATTACCCTCAGTTAGTTGTACATTTTGCCAGTGGGGTCTTGCTTTCAAACCCCAAGCTGCTTAGCTTTTGTCACTCTCTGGAATAATTAAAAAAATTATGATATCTTTTCTATATTGTGATAAGTTATCTACTTGTGAAATTTCTCTTTTGAAGCACCCTAATCTATTTTGGTTTTTTTTTTTCTTTTGCCTTTTTATTTTCTTTTGGTTTTGATTGTGGTTGTATGTGTGTTTGTTTTTATTTGGTTTGTTTGCTGAATTTTTTTGTTTGTTTATTTTGGTTTTTTTTTCTTTAAACAAAGGAGAGAAACTTGAGAGAGGGGTTTAACCAGTAAAGTCCTAAGATTTGATTGTTAATTCTCCCCTTTAGCTGCTCTTGTAAATTAGCTATGAGTATTTTGTAAAAGATTAAATAAACAACTTTGAGTATTCTCATTACCTGTTTGCTGGAAAATGTATTGATATTGTTGGGAGAAGTTACATGTTAATCACGTCTGCGAGAGGGTCGAGGAAACAATGCACCATACTGAAAAATGAGACTAATGTCATTATGGTTAATAATTGCCAAATTAAGGTACTTAAATGTACCCTTAAACCCTTTTTGCTAGGCTTGGTTACAAGCTCCTCAGTCTCATTTTTTTGATTGATCGACTGATTTTTATTTTCTCTAACACAGGTGTAGCCGCGTACTGAATTGGAGAAACGCGACTCTTAACTTACAGCATATCTTGTGTTATAATGTATGCTACAAGGATTGAGTGCAGATTTTTTTTTCTTTCTTGAGGAGTTTGCCGCTTGCTTCGTCAGAGGAACGATTTGATATTTGCATCGCAAGTCGAAAACAGCTCTAAGCACTTCCACTTAAGGAAAGTGCGAGAAATAATAACCGACAAACTAATTCTAACTCAAACCGTGCGTTCCATTTTAGAGCAATCAGTTCATGTGTATATGTTCAGCGCGGGCAGCTTTTCGATGCAGCTAAGCGCTGACTTGATAGATGGACGAGATTTTAGACGTATTTTTTTCCTCCTTTCGACTAAAGAAATAGATGGACTCGAGAGGGAAACTGAAATGCAAATAAGTGAAAGATTTGCACGTGCAAACTCAAGCTGCAGAGATGACAATGCAAACGAAGGTGGTGTAAATTTGCATAACGATCTGTGATGAGGCGAGATTTTAAAAAGAGTGTTAACAAGATTTTGTCTTTCATTTTGTTTTTGTTTTTTGTTTTGTTTTGTTTTGTATTTTAATATTATTATTCTTTCAGTTGCTGCTTCCAAGCCACTTAACAGGGGACAAAAAGAGAAATAAATAAAAGGAAGTCTTGGAAAAGTAGGGGGGAGGGGTACCTTTGTCTGCTTCATGTAATTCGCAAGCTAAGGATGGAAAACATACCACAGCTAATTGAAAGTGGGAAGTCTCCAAACTTGCAACGCTTGTAGACACCATGTAAGCAACGGAAAGTTACGACACCCAGTGAAAACAGCTGTCCCCACGCTCTGCGCTGAAAAAACGCATAAAATGTTTGGCGGACGAGTGGAAGTCACATAGAGGAAGCACGGGAATCGATTCACGCGTGAGAGGCGCGCGTGACTCGCCTCTCGCACGGAGGGAGCGGCTGCCTGTATTCGCCTGAGCTTGCGAAAAATGACGACTGATGTGTAGGATATACGCGAGAAAAAAGAGAAATCGGTTAAAATCTTCTTAGTTATAGGAACGCTAAACATCGAAAGACAGAGGACCGTTCTTTAATCATCTTTTCCAAGCTTGATTTAAGATTACTTCTTTCGCGTTTTTCTACAGAGATCTAATAAGCTAAATTTCGTGATATCATTCAAGGGAAATGTCGGAAATAATAACTCAAATTGTGTTAACCGAGTACCTTTGAACAAAAAGACTAAAGCGAAAACAGAGCAAACTGACTAATAACAAAGAAAACAAAACAAGAAAGGAAAGGAAAGAAAAAAAAAGTCTTAAGTCTTAAGACAGTTTAGAAGATCGTGTAAGGAGCCGATCCAGCAAGAGTAAAGTTGTTACTCAGGCCATATCGTCCATCACCACGCACACGGACTGTTATCGGTCCATAATCCTGCGGTCCATCCAGTCCCATGAGCACAACATTTACTGCTCCGCCAGATATGTCGAAATTCGGGGTCAGAACGTCGCAGGTTCCTTTTTTGGCAACGTAAGTCTTGTTACAGACATATGTGGCAAAGCCTGACTGCTGATCATTAGCAATGACTGTGATGGTGACGTTGTAGTGATGACTTGGACCAAAGCAGTAATCAAGCCTGAACAATTTCTTGTTCCTTGTAAGGACGCTTTGAGTCGAGGCGCTTTTGAAAATTGGTATAAGGTCGTATGCTGCGGAATGATTAAAATAAGACATGGCTTAAAACTTTTCTTTCTTTTAAAATCGTTTCGAAAAGAAAGGTTAGTGCGCTCATTAAGGTTAAACGGCTCTCGTGAACAAGGCTTTGAACAAGGCTAGTATTTTGGAACCTAAGGTATTTGTCTCAGTAAATCTTTTGATACCCAACCCATTCTCGTGACTCACGCTAACATCCAAAATAGCGACAGGATTTAACACGTTAAGTGGAGGCACTATTTAATACAATATTCACCATATGGAAAGGAAATTCTCCATGAAAAGATAATGATACAAAATTACTCACCGGAATCTACATCTTTACTGCTGTAATTCTTCGCTACAGCGTATTCCTCAGCAGTCATTTGCCAACGAGGAACGCAGGGTCGAGGGAGATAAACTCTGTCTTTGTAATCAAATGTCAGAGAAAGGGTGAACGAAAAGGAGGGAGCTGGGCCTGTTATGACGTCAAAGAACAAGTCTTTGTACCTGACGAAGGAAAAAAAAAAGAAGAGAAAAACTTAAGAACAGTTCAAATGATTTCCACCAAGAGAAGGAAAAGGAAAGGTTGAAGAAGGTAGATGATTTTCTTGAATTGATTGATCATGAACGTCGGTTCTCGGATTGGAACACATCGCACATAGCTTGATGGAGCTATCAAAAGCAAAGGCAAAAAATGAAGTTTAACATTGGAAAACACTTTATAAACCAACCAATTAAGCTATCAATCAGCTAACTCATTTATTTGTCTCTTCATCCATCCATCATTCATCCGTCCATTCATCATCTCAACACACACACACACACACACGCATAGTTACCTGGTTGCAGGTAGCAGTATAATAACCCCCCAAATATTGGATAACATAATTTTTAGTCAGTGTGGGATTGTACTTACTTAGCGAAATACGTGAAGTTGAAGTCAGGAAGAATGTCATCCTCATTCGAAGCAATGATCGTGCCAGTAGGATCCGTTGCTCTGACATAGACAGTGATGTAATCTCCCTCATCTTTGTCCCAAGGATTGTTCACCAAGTTAACTGCAAAGCGAGCGTTCAAGCCGTCAAAACTGCATCCCCCACAGAGAGCAGCATGATAGGAGAGATTCTTCTTGCCAGTGTATACCTCATCTTTCTGTGTGATAAACTGTACTTCCACCGGAATGGGGATTGGGGCAAGCGGAAGACTATCTTCAAGCTCAATCATCCTGAAAGGTGACGCTTGGGCAAAGACAAAGACAGCGCCTACGAATCATGAAAAATGAACAATGGTTAATAAACAAGAATAATGGAGAAATAATTGGAAGGAAGTGATAAAAAGTAAAGAAGAATGAAATTATCTGATAATCAGTTACATTAATTTATGATCATGATTTTTACAGCTGGCTGTGTGAGCGATCAAGATAAAACGAATCACATAAACAATCTGATAAGCCACTCGATTAGGCATTATGAGCCTGTGTTGAAATATGTGAAACTTAACACCATTATTGTATGGACGTTTCCTTTTCCTCCTTGTCAGCCACTGCATATTTTAGGCCCTTGGATATTGAGCAATAAAATTGCCAAATTTTGAATAAACCTAAGCATGAATTCATGTAATTTGTACCGAGAGAAAATTTACCGCTAGCCTTCAGCATTTTATATTAGCAAGTTTCAGTGATTTTATCCTCTACGGTTGGAACGAAGGCATTGGATTTCTGGCACAGGCTCATGGTCAATCTCACCAATTGCAGTTTACAAATTCATGTTTTAACTATTCCCTATTTTCGAAATAGTAGACAATCGGGACAGTGAATCACTCATTGTAAAATAGGAGCACTGACTGCTGTGCTGGATAGAGGCCCAGTATAAAGCAAGGATCAGTCTCTTTTTATTCATACAATCACGTAAATACTGCAAAGGCAGCAACAACAAAAAAAAATGACAATGTTGACAACAAACTCTGAAGGACAGGTCTATGATCGCTGGTATAAGTTACAAAGGCGTTGCTGCTGCCCGTCAGGAAAAACCCCCTTATATATCTGGGGAGGAAACCTGAACCCTCCCGAATAGAGAACCAGACACTGAACACGAACCTCGAGGGAGAGAGGTTGAACTAATGTATGTAAATACAAACTGTAGATATACGACGTACCACCTACAATCAAATTAAAATACACGCAAAGAAATTAAAATTGATGTAAATTAAAAGAAATTTTTGTAGAAGAAAGCATAAAAGCCAGCAGCGATGTCAGCCTAGAGTGATTTGTCCCGGTAATATCCCGTCATTTTATTCCCACGTCTCCATGACAACTGTCAAAAAGTTATAACTGTGAAAACAATCATTTGCTGTTATTCTTAGAACCGATGCAAATAACACCATTTGAACGAACCCATCCAAGAAATGCGTGATTTGTTTGTGAATCAATGGAACGCCGTACAAGTCTCAGTCAACTCCTGATCTTCCGAGTGAACGAGTTTCTGACGATCCAACCGTTCACGCATGTGTGATTAGACTTTGCAGGACCACTAACTGTTGTCGACGAATACGCGAATTCATCGTGATCGACATTACATGAGGTTTTAGAATAGGCACGAATTTCAATTAAATTGGCAGGAATTTCAATTACGACTTGAGTTTATTAAAAGACAGGTTGTGAGAAAGTCGAACTGTGGTTATATTATGATATATGATACTGAAACGAAGTTTTTATTGTTCATTGTGGTATAACGGATAGAAGGGACAAAGGAAACATTCTGAGTCGAACCTCAGACCTTCGAATTCCGCGCTCCAATGCTTTACCTGTAAATTATTCGTTTGTCTCACGATGGAGTCACTTTGGATGTTAATCGTGGCGTTTCAACTGCAATACTGCAAGTCTTCATCAGGCGATGATGACGCGATGTTTCGACTACAATACTGCTAGTCTTCATCAGGCGATTGTTCCACGCCCGTGAGAAGACGGAAAAAACATCTTTCTCTATTTCTTTACCGAGCTCAAAACGTGTCATCTCTCTTGTTTCTATCTACAAATTTCATCCTTTTTCTCGGAATTTGTGTAATCTTAACAGGAAGTCTGTATAGTTCCGCTTTCGGCTTGGGTTCTTGGAAATAGAAACTAAGAAATGTCTGGTTGGCGAGATGAGCTATGAGAAACATGGTGTGTTTGAAATAACCAATACGAGAAATTTCAGACCGTCTATAAAAAATAATCTACGACTTACTCAAGGTATACATTTATGTAATCAGTCTCAATTCTTGCAGACAACAATTAACAGAAGCTTGATGCGAGCCATCGCGCCCTGGCAGTGCGGATACACTACAAAGTTCATAAAAATACGCGTGTGCAGATAAAAGAACACAATATATAAATGAGAATTCCAGTCATTAATCGGCGATGATTTCTATGGATGAGTTATAAAACTTACCGAGAAGAAGCAAGGCAAACATTTTGGACTTGATACCTCAAAAGCAACGCCAGAGCAGTTGATTGTCGTGCGGAAGTGACAGTTTGAGTAGACGCACAGTTGACTCTTAGCTTTGTTAAGACCTAGACAGCTGCAAGGTGTGGTAATGTCAACAAATGCTAATGAACCGTTTTTATTGGCTCTGCGAACAATACTCAAAAATGCAGAAAAAAAAGGGGCAGAACCCAATTCTCGGAATCGGAAAAATGGGATTAAAAAATGGCGTTTTAAAACAATCCACTGAAACACTTAATTTTTGAGTATTCCAGTCAATCCAGTGGGAAACCTAAAAATGAAAGATTTCAGTCTGATGAACATTTTCTCTAAGCTTAGAATAAACATATTCCAAATTTAAAGATTTCGTGTTCTCCTCTTTGACCCTAAAGATCGCATGACTGAATCACGCGACTATCACATGAACGTGGAAATTTGCATATAAGCGCTGAAATTTCTACGTGGCTCTAATTTAGCTTCTTATCGGGAATGACTGGTATAGACGAACCTCATTGCGAATTAAGCTTGTTACTTCACCCCTCCAACTCCCCCCAGAATAAAGTCGGTTATCTGTATTTTCTAAATTTGAAGGCAGAAGAAAGCCTTATTTTCTGACGTAAACAATTAAAGTGAGTTCTGTTCAGTGTCACGCAAATAACGGAAGATGTCAATAATTGTCATAAGCATACGTCACGCATACACGAAACTCGGAGTTTTTTTGAGAGGAACAGTACTTAGACCTTCAAAATTCGCGATTGCATGGCCTGCGAATTTAGGTAAAGAAAACTTTTAGAAAAAAATTTATGGGAAGAAACAAGTCGGTCGGTCACTAGTCTGCCCGGAAATCACTTGTGACCTTTTACCTTCGTTCCAGCACGTAACTGTTACTTTTAACAACTATTTTTTCCCATTTTTCCCAGAAAAACAGGATGATATTTGAAAAGAAGTCTACGAATCTTGGCTCATCGGAAAATCGTGTTTCGGATACGGAAAATTGTATTGGGCTTGATAACCTTACATCGGATGCGGCACTTCTCTTGCTTTCCTAGCACGGAGAGATCTCTGGAAGAATTGTTATGCCGGACATAACAAAATTAAACGAGCACTAACTTTTAATGATTCTGGCGATATTAGAATGATCTCATTTAAGTTAAAGTGGGTAGCATTGATAACTCAGGCATTAAGGCGTTTAGTCAAACGAGGCATTTCACAGAAACCCTTTATGAGTAAACAGGATGTTGGTCTATAACCGGTCTTTAGGGAGAAATTATTTTGAAAGACTTCAAACGCACATAACAAAAAAAATATAGAGTTAATTGATGATAAGTTTATTCAAAGACCTGACCAAGCGGATAATTGCTTGAAACTTTTGGCACTAAACCAAATAGCCAAGCCACATTTTAAGCAAAAAAAAAAACAAAAAAAAAAACACCAAAAATAATAATAATGTGCAATAGTTGTCTTCTCATGCTTTTGATTTACTATATAACGCTAACGGATTCATTTCCGCATCAATCTTAGAAGAAGAAGAATAAGAGGGAGGGGTGCTGGCTTCACTAATTAGTCACTGTTGCTTCTCCATGCCTTACGTGCCGATCAGTGCTCATATACGGGACCGAGGCTGCCAAGGTAAATCGGTTACTTTGGCCATGACGCCCATCCCCGCTAAGAAGGACACGAACAGGTCCAAAGTCAGCTGGTTTCTCCACATCCATCACCACTACGTTCACGGGGCCCCCGGATATGTCACGATATGGGGTTCGTACATCACATCTTCCGTGTTTTATCATGTACGTCTTCTTGCAAACATATGTGACAAATCCAGACTTTTGATCCTCTGTGATGACGCTGACGGTGATTTTATAGGAAAGTTCGTCTCCGAAGCAATAGTCAAGGCGGTACAACTTAAAACTCTCAGTTTCAATAGACTGAGTGATTGCTGTTTTGAAAACCGGCTGCAGTAAAGCTGTGACAAAAGAAGTATAATCTCGTAAGAGAAGGTAGGCACATCCAGCTATGCGTGACATTCTAAATGAAAATGTAAATTCATTTTTAATCGACGTTTCTCCCGGCGTTGCCTTCCTGACTGCTTAATTAAGGCCCCTATTACGGAATTAATTTACGGGAATATCAGTAGATTAAAGAAAACAATGAATTGAACAGTCATATATAATTTACCTGTGTTATTTCCTCCTCGGTATTTCCGCCACACAGTGTTTTCCGAGGTTGTCATTTGCCATCGATGGGTACATTCGCTTTGCGGATAAACACGGTCCGTGTAATCGAACGTCAGGGATAACGTGAATACAAATGTAGCCGCTGGTCCTGCTACAACTTGGAAGAACAGATTTTTGTACCTATATGGAAAAAAAAATCGAATTGTTCAACTATCCGCATAAGTAAGACACTTCAATTCAGTTCAGGTTGGATGAGCTATTTATAGAAGATGAAGTCATGGCGGAGTCTCACAACTGAAGTGAAACAAGGTTTATCTTAACGTTACTAATTTTCAAATAATATGTATGGAGTAGATCAGTTTGACTAGCGATCGAAATGTGTTTACAGATTAAAAGAGATCTGAGTTATTATGAAGTCCGATCAAAATATTCCTGGCTGCATTTCAGATAAAACATTGGAACTACCTCCAACTGAGCTTCGAAGCCACTACTGAAGAGCGAGGTAAAATTTAAAAAGTTATTTGTTTCCTGCAAAGGAATCTGATCATAAATAGTGCCTGTGAAATAAATCACATTTTGATCAGTGGATAAGATAACACGTGACTATGCTGACTGATAAGCTACAATTCAAGTCATAGCACAACTCTTACTTGGCGACATAGGTGAAATTGAAATCCGGTACTGGTATGCCGCTTGCATCAGAATTGTTAGCGATGAAATTTCCATCAGTATCTTTCACGGTTATTGTCATGTAGTATCCCGTGTCGTAACTCCAGTCCCTGTTGACCAGGCTCACACCGAAGAGAGCGTTTAAACCTTGAAAGGCACAGCCTCCACACAGAGCTGCGAGGTAGTCTTTCGTCGTGTCCCCATCTAATTTTTGGTTCTGCTCGGTGATAAAGTGCACACGCACTGGGATAGGATTGAGGGCTGAAATTTGAGCTGTCACCAACACAACGCCTGTGACCATGGACGCAATTAGACCCAGAAGTTAATGTATATCACTCAAACAAATCCTTCACTAAGTGTGGGTCTTCGTAATAATTTCTGCGGTAGGTCTTTCCTTTTAATCGTTTTAAATTTTTTAGAACGCCAAATTTAATCAAAACATTACAAACTTCTGCGTCTATTTCCTAAATCGAAAAAGATTCGCTGAATGAATTAAATGTGAGATCTAGAAAACTCCATTTCGTGGAAGCATGAAAATATGAATTTCATAAATGTGTAAATGAAAACCTTTAGATGATTACAGAGTTAACCTCTAATTTCGGAGCTCAAATTTTCGATTGCTGGACTTCAGGAAGACGAGGCTTTTCCGAGGAAACTATTCAAGGACATGTCGTTTGGGGAGAACTGGTAGACCGAAAGAAAGTTGAAGCATGTTCAAAGATAGTCAAACCGCTATTTCTCAAGGTTGTGGGGGATGTGCTTGATCTTTCCGCATAATTGCAGACGGAAGCATAAAATCTCCGTTCGACACGAAAATGCGCCAAACAAGTACTAAGTATAAAACTGAGTAGGTATTAAAACTCACCGAATAAAATAAGGGTATACATCCTCTTGCTTAAGGATCGTCTCCTCAACAACAACTAATGGAGTTTGTATGAAGCGACTAAGATGGTCTGGGATAAAACTTCGAATCCCAGCCTTTTATAATATCGCTTTACTGGGCGTTGGCTCATGAGAAAAGCATTTGAAGGAAAGTTATTTATAGACCTTATTAAGAGTCTGCAAGGGACCGATCATTGATAAAGAATCTGAACAGGCCTTGCCTTGCCAAGGGTAAAACCCCTTCTTCGGGAATGAGTCTGGTTTCCGCTTGCACGTGCTGACGTTGCAAAAAATTAACACAGCCTCGCACTTTATCGCCGGGATACCTACGTTACAAAACGATAAAGATAAAAAACTGGTAAACATTCAGTGGAGAATTTGGAAACAAATTAATCATGAATTACAAACAAAATAGTAGTCAACGTGATGGATTGTGACGAATCGCCTGACCTGGCACGCGATCTGTCTGCGCAGTATGCATTTAATGTTTGCTAACTAAACAAAACTGAATCAAGGAGGAAATTCGTTCATGATCCAGTTTGCACCGCCTAGTTTACCTTTCTGTTTCAAAAAGGTAAAAATAAAGATTGAGGTAAATAGTATAAGAGAGATGGTAAGTTTTGAGCTCGGTAAAGAAATAGAGATGAATGTTTTTTCGTCTTGTCACGAGCGTGGGACATAGGAAAAATTCCGAGTCCCCATGAAGAATCGAACATCAGACCATCGGTTCTTTGAAGACCTTTCAATTTAGAAAGGTCGGTTTCGTGACGAGACGAAAAAAACATCTTTTTCTATATATTAAGGTATTTCGATTTCTATGTTTTTCTGCTGTCCACAAATTTGGTATCTTGCCTTTTTTTCCATTTTCTTGCAATTAATCATTTCTTCATTTCGACTTTTTTGTTTCGTCCTGCTACACAGATTTGGTATTTTGGCTTATTTCCATTTGCTTGGAATCAAGATATAATAATCTGTTGCTGCAATTCATCATTTCTTAATTTCGATACTTTTGTTTTTGTTGTTCTCGGGGAATTTGGTGTTTTGCCCTGTTTTCATTATCTCAAACTGATCACGAAATGAGCTGTTCGAAAGAGCTGAAAGTTGAATATTCAGTTTCAGGATTCAATAATATGATGGCGTGGCAGCTAATGAAAAAACGAGGAATCGTGGAATCCTTTTTATCTGTTCTGTAATACTTCACCAGATCAGTTAGTAAACTTATTTTCCTCGTTCCAGCACCGTGAACCATCGATCTAAAAATATGCTATGTCAAGGTGATTTTTTTCTAAGAAAACATAATTCTATTGTCATTGGCAACCGAATCCATGATGTAATTGAGGTTATTTTTCCTTGACTAAGCATAATGTGTTCAACGTTATCTCTTTCAAAATTTAGCGTACTTTTAGCGTACTTACTTCCATCACTTAAAACCTTTAAGGGAGTTCATTTATCCATGAAAAATTTCGAAAAGTAGTGCCCTAAAATTGGCTTTAAAGGTAAGGTATTTTTATCTCAAATGAATGTGGATGTGGGTGGTCTAGTTACCAGACTTTCGCATTTCTCATAAAATTTTCAATTTATTTAAGCAAAATTGGGTAAATACTTGTACTTTCCTTAACAGCTGCACGTGCTCCTTTCGAAGTACTCAAGTTTTAATACAAGAAACAAATATGAAAATTCCTTTATTGAATTCAAAAGTAGTGGGATAGGAGCGCTTTTATCTGCAATCTGTACTTATTGGTACTTCACTAAAGATGAAATTCAAAATAACTTCGATTACAAGCAGCAATAAAAACAATCAAATACAAGTTTACTTCTTACGTATTTTGGAAAACAAATGGGGCTATTGTAGCAATTATGCAAAGCGCTTCTTGTGCTTTTTTCTCCGTAGATCAATGTAAGTGAAGCAAACGAGCAACAATTATAAAGCCGTTGCTTTGGCCGTATCGCCCTTCCCCCAACACAAGGACTTGTACAGGCCCATAATCAGCTGATTCCTTTATATCTATCTGCACAACATTGACGGGTAAACCGGACATATCTCTGTATGGAGTTAGCCCGCCACACTCCCCATGTTGCTTTATGTACGACATTGTGCAGCCATAGGTGGCAAGCCCAGGCCATAGGTTTTCTTTGATGACAGTGATGATAACTTTGTAGTCACCTTGTTTTGCGAAGCAGTATCCAAGCTGGAACAATTTGGTTTCTTCAGTGGGAACTTCTTGGGTCGTTAAAGTTTTGAAAACTTGGTAAAGTTCAGCTGATGGAGAAGAAAGAGCGTTTGTGAGCGTCTAATGAGTTATCTAATTATATACTGTTACATCACAGTTAAAACTTAATTAATTTCAATTATTTCTTTTGGTTTTATTGTTAAAAAAAATGATCATCTGCACTTTGAAATCGGAGGTAAAGGTCTTTTTTTCTGAGTGAAAAGTCAACAGCGCGTGGAAAACTCCAGGTCACTCAGGCAAGTTCGAGAGATGAGCGCAGCAACCAATAAGAACAAAAAATAAACAAACTAACAAACAAACAAACAAGCAAAAAGAGGGTAGAAATGCTCGATAAAACAAACATGATTGCTATTACATCAAAATCGACAGTGAGGTAGCAGAAAGAATAACACATTTAGGGAAATAGCATAACAAACCTGTATCATTTCCTTGCTTGTACTTCTGTGACACAGCGTGCTCCGAAGCTGTCATTTTCCATCTGGGAACGCAATGAGCTGGCACATGCACTCGGGTTTTGAAATCAAATAGTAGGCTTAATGTGAATAAAAACTGTGGGGTCGGTCCGGTTTTTATGTGAAGAAACAAATCTTTATACCTAAAAGAACAATGATTATTAAGTCATCATAACAACAGGGAATGCAAGTGGAGTTGATCCATTCCTTAGTCTATTTGGTAACGACGGTGAAAACATGGCATAATAGGGTCTTATACACATCATGAAGGTGAAATAAAGCTGATGTTATTTAAATATATATATATATATACATATAATACACACGTGCATACATATATATATATATATAACATTGCTGATTCTTATTGTTATGACTGTTTTGTTTGATTGTAACCTTAATAAGCAAAGAACTTGTTCAATTGGCCCCATTGCAAATCGTTATTTTATAAAGGATCCTACTACTTTTCGAAAAACCCAGGATTATTCAGTAAGTTAGGCCATATATCATGATATACCTATTTCAATCTTTTTTTTTAAATAAAGCTTGACATTGATATCCAAAGGTATATGACTTTAAATACCTTTTACTGTACTTCCATGAAGTATAATCATAAGTTCTTAATTACCAACAACATCATTAGCCCACAAAAGCCACACAATGCGTCAAAAGGAATCATATGAAACTATGAACGAAGCATTTTTTGAAAATGGAGAAACGAAATGAACTGTTAAGACAGGTTTTAAGGTAATGACGTTTATCTAACAGGAAACTCTTACTTAGCAGAATAGGTGAAGTTAAAGTTTGGCACGGGCATCTGCCTACCATCGACATTAGTTGCAATGACACTTCCATTCCCATCTTCGACAGAAATAATCATATAGTCTCCCAATTCGCAATCCCATGGATTGTTAACCAAGTTTACTTGAACTTGAGCCGTCAACCCGTCAAAGCTGCAACCGCCACAGAGAGCTGCATGGTAAATTCTTGTTGATTCTCCGCCTAAAATTTGGTTTCCAGTGGTAAAAAGTACTGGAACCCCTTCGGGGAGGTGTGATCCCTGAACTGTCACCAAAGCGAGGCCTAAGAGCGGAAAAATGATGCAACATGAAAGTAAGTCTTCTAAAAATGATACATTACCGCATATTCGTATAACTCGAAGATGGGATCGCCACTCACACAAATATTTTTTTCATTTTCAATTCTAATACAGCGTTGGACTCTAGGCTGTAGAAAAATATCCTCTAGGGAGTAGAAAGTATATTACACTGGGGGAGAAATATTGATGCATAATTTTGATCGAGTTCAATTCTGAAAAGCTTCAAACGACGTTAGCATAAGTAGCTAGGAATCAGGTGAAATATATGAACTTCGCAATTGCAAGAGTAGAGACTCGCTTCTTAGAATTAGCTATATTTTCGTCGGTCATCGCTTTTTTTTTCTCGGAAATCACCGCGAATAATCTAAGATTGGAATGAGCTCTCCAAAAACTCAGCGATGTTTTCAGTGGCAAGCCTGGCAACAGTGCAGCAGCCTAGTTTAACAGCCTTTACTTAAGGGTATGGAGGCATTTCATCGATATCGGGATGACGAGGACGAGACAATTAGACGAGATATCACAGAGATGTGAAAAACCAGTACTGAGTATAAATCTGGACATTATACCAAAGTGAAAAACTCACCCAACACAAGGAGGGCATTCATTGTCAACAATGGCTTTAGCTTCCCCTGTTGTATCATTCGACTGTTTAAATTTTTAGATGCTCCTGGAATCTTACCTCTATCGCGACCGTGATAACATTGGACAGTCCGCAAGTCGCAAGTACTTTATATGGCTGCGTAGAAAACTAAAATTAGACTTTTTCCTAGAATTCAACGTCTGCAATGGGCCAATGAATGAAAATTTTTGGACAAGTTTTGGTTCACTAAGGTCAAACCCCTTTTCCGTCAGCACGCATTGATGACAGCTGCGTACAAAAACACAACGCAAATTTGATGACAAAGCGAAAGTTAGGGTCTTCTTTTGTTTACGATCGTAATTCAAACCTGATAAGACCACATCACATGATCGATCATGTGAAGCGTTAAATGACCAAAGATATTTCGCATAGTAACAATTGAAAATTTACTGAACTTCGATGAAATATGGGCCTCTCCTTACCGCAAAATCTAGAGCTTTCTTTTAATGCCACCAACTCCTGAGAAAACGGAATGCTTATTTGGTAACCGAATCACAGCGTCGTCAACATTTTCTCCTTAGTATAGGAAAGTGTGCTCGGCAGTATTTCCTTGATGTTATCCAGGATTAAACACGGAAACGTCCCAAAGATCTTCATGCACCGACTTAAGTCGGTTAAGGAAGCCGTTTACCGCAAAAAATTCACAATTCAGTCCCCAAACAACTGTTTTAGAGGCTAGGTAATTCTTTATTAATAAGGAATTTGGGAAATGCAAATTAGAGAATTTGTAACTCAGTCACCAGACTTCCGCTTTTCTTAGAAAAGTTCTTTGGTCTCTGAACTTTATATTTGTTCTCACCAAGCAGGAAAAAATTTCGTCGAGTTACTCCACAGCAATACATTTGTAGTGAAAGAAGCATTCTCAGAACAACTCAATTAACATTTATTTTATTCAAGTCTTCAAGCATTCAATTTAAGTATCAAGTATCAAATATGATGTAGAGACCTTAAAGTCGCCTCAAAGAGTGCTTGCGTACATGGGGTAAACAAAAAAGATGCATAAGCAAATAAAAAGCATAATTATGAAAAAGATAAGCAGTACTTATAAGCTAAGATAAGATAAGATAAGATAAGATAAGCTAAGTACCGAGATATATCATGACTAATGAGCACTGACAATGCTTAATAAATGCATAGTTAAATGATATCGGTCAAGGAAAGCCCAGAATTATCTGCACGTGTTTAAAGATAGCTTATTAAGTTGATAGACGTTGGATGGGTAAAAGCTAGTAAATCTTTTTTTGGCACTCTCATCCGAATTAAAAGCCAATAAGGCCATGAAATTTTTGCCCCTTTTAATGTTACGGCTTTGCGATAGTCGCATCGGAATTCAATTAATAATTTGACTTTGCGGTAGTGCACTTCTTTGGAGAATGTTTCGAAAGCGTTATTTCAAAAATCATTATTATAAACGAATAGTAATACTACACACAGAAATAGCATAAAAAATTATAAAAAAAATTAAATTTAAATTCATCTAACTACTGGAGTAATTTTAAAAGGCAGTTGTGCATCACTTGAAAAAATATTCAAAATATTTGTTGCAATTCTCTTCTTTTCAAAGGACTTGTTTCTTCATCCAGTGTTACTTTGAGATTCGAGGACACTTCCAGTTCTAAAGTACATACCAACAACGGATGGTAAATATATATTTCATCCTGTTTTCAGAGAGAACTGGTAACAGGTAACAAATCAGTGTATCACTCCAAATTTTTTCCTCATGATTCGCAAGAAGCAGCACTCGTTCCCCGGCTGTGGGTAACCCTTGTCACTGTAGAGTTCAAGCTGATCAGAGACATCGCTCCAACGGTTATTAAATGGCTGTAGTTCTTCCTGAATAGCATCATGGGATGGTTCATCGATTTCCCCAGCCAGATCTTTGCCGAGTCTGTTGATTCGATCAACTTTAGAAGCGAATTTGGATCGTTCTTCACATTTGATCTGTAATTAAAGATCACCATTTGCAGGGTTATTGATGAAAATATTTTCGGCAGAGAAAGAAGAATCACGTAAGTGGAATACTTTGCCGCTATTATCGTCTGAGGCCTGATTCGAAGCTTAACATCATGATCGCAACTTACTCCTAACGATTTCAAGCTATTTCAAGCACTTGGCTAAAATATTATAACTGCAAGAAGAACATCCATACATATAAAAGCTTAATGATAAGGAGCTAAAAATATTCGTGGACATAGCAGTTTTAGAAAGAGAGTAGATACGGCTTTTATGGGAATCTTTGATCAATGAAACAAACCTCTGTCTTTTCTTGAAGCCTGCTAGCTTCCTCTGGATCCATTCCAATCTTGTAGGTCTTGAGCAGCCGTTCAGTTTCATCCATCCATTCATTTGTGGCATCCATTTCCGAATGAAACTCCTTAAGTTTACTTTGAGAATTTTCAAGCTACAGAACAGATACAAAGCATTTTAGACCGATAGCTCTAGCAATAAATATATACCGATGACTAGCTTAATCGACCGACAGACGGACGGGACATTGCTCAGACTCAGTGTACAGACGGACATTGGGACCAACGTACAGATACCAAAGCAAACTGGCTCATAGACAAAGGCCTGGTGAACAGCTATATCGATGGACTTACGACCCGACAGACCGTTGTCTACATACCGCAGAAGGAAAACCAGACAGGGAAAAATTGATCAGTCCTAATCAAGAGAGCTTCTCGAGAAATTTCTCCTTTTTATTTTACCTGCTGAATTCTGTTTATAACTTGTTTTGCAATGTCATTCCAGCAATCATCAAAGTCTTTCAGCTGAGTTTTAATTTCCTTTGCAGCCGGATCTACCGCATCTACGTTCTTTAACAAATCCTCTCCGGCTTTGTGTAAGGATTGCAAACGTATTCCTTGTTCATCCAACTCTTTTTCAATTACCTGATTTTCGAAGTAGACATAAAATAAATGAATATGTAAATATGAAGTCAAGATAGATACATTTACGCCGCAAAAAGTTTTAATGCACTTAAAACTGACAAATAGAAAAAAAATCGGTAACTATAACAAGGCTGTTAAGGGGTTAGTCAAAGCAAACTTTAAATGTTGATCTCAGTTTTGACGAAATCTCGGTGAAGGGCATAGAGCAAAAGAAGTCAGCACATGATTTACACTTACTCTGAGCTTTTCTAAATGATCTTTGACTTCAGCTTCATCAGTAAGATCTGTTCTTGCCATCTCCTTTAAGGTTTTTTCTTTGTTTGACAGCCAATTCAATAATATCATCTGCTCGTCACGGAATCGTTGCCAGTTACTTAGAACCTTGGAAAAGGAGAAAAAAGAACCTCTTTATTTCCGTTGGAATTAAAATGCGCAATATACTGATGAATCATGTCGACATAATTTACAGCTAGTAACATTAACTTACGATTTTGCACCTGCGCGTCGCTCTCAAAACGAGGTTTCTTTCTTTATTTATTTTTTATTATTATTTTTTCTTTAACAGAGAAAACCACCAGGCAGCTATCCTTTAGAGCCACAAAACAGAAGAAAACAAGGTCAAACAAACAAACCTGAATGATTTACATTTTTTAAACATATCAAATACAAAACATAACTTAATTGTTTCCACGTGTAAGTGTATTCTCATTGGCTCCTACGGTTTGGAGTACATGCCTTTCTTTGCAGTGATTGGCCATTTTTATTTGTGTAGTCTTGGATTTTAACGGTGTCCAATTCCATGCATGCAAAACGCTCTACAACGTTAACCCCGCTGACCAAGTCTTTTAATTGTCTTCAGCGACACATACCTTAAGCAACTGAGCTTTTCTCTGTTCCGACCAGTTCCACACTTTACTCCACCGGTCGCTGAGTGACTTTACTTGTTGCTGGGTGCCTTGCGTGATGTCAGGATCGGAGACGTCCACGCCTAGAATCGTTGAAATCATCGAGTGATCCCTGAGCTCCTCTTGAAAGACCTGAAAAAAGTTTAAAAAGAAGTATAAATATGTCCATGTACTATTCAAATAATAATAAAAAAGAGGAAATGAATGGTTATCATAGGCTCGGAATATAATCTGAATTTAATGTGATTTACACATTTACCTGATGATCTTCCAGCTGTTTATTTACGTCGTCATAGCCTGGACCAGTCTCGCCCTCCTGCTTGATCCGGGACTCCGCCATTTTAAGCCAAATGTTAGTTCTTTGTAAGTGTTGTTTAAGCAGCAAAATGTATGTGTCAAGCAACCTGAGGAAAAACGACAACAGGAGTAAGCAACAAGCCACGAACGACAACGAATTTTGAGCCAAATTTTTGTTTTTCTAAGTTTTTAAATTATTTCCTTAAATAACACTGCTTCGATTGAATCCCCCCTAAAAAAGGTTTCGGTCTGCAGTAATGTGAACTGGGTCAATTGCATATAACACTTTCCACCTCTACTCGATTAATATCGTACCTTCTTTCCTCTTTGTCTGCCTTCTCTTCGAGTCCTTTGTTTCTCTTGTCAATCATATCAATTCTTCCCTGGAAATGTTCCTGTTCGTGTTCCTTGAAGAAGTCTTCTCTGACAACGGCACGGGACTCGTCCAGTATTCTGTCAACCTTCTTTTGGGAATCATGAATGCCAGTCCTTTTCACCTATAAAAAAACAAACGAACGAACGAACAAATATAAGCAAGGAATTTTGAAACACATTTTTTTAATTTTCATGGTATTGGTAGCATACTTCCTCTGAGGATAATCATCTTTGCAAAAATTTTCTTTTTACCCCAAGATCTGTGTATCAATTCTCTCTCTGTCTGCTATACATTAAATCAACTTTAAAAAAGTTAATACCGTCTAGTTTATATGTTTGTTTCTTTCATGCACCTTTCTGTTTGGAAACGTATCGACTTTGAAATTAAAAATTCCTTCTTAGCCACCCATGAAATAGTTGATAACCAATTCTGAACAAACTAGAATGTTACTCACTCTGAATGCTTGCAGTGCTTCCTTTGCACCATCTATGTCTAAGTAGTCAGCATCATCTCTGCTGATGCTTGCTTCTGCATGTGTCAACTTCACCTCCGCTTCATCCAATCGTATCGTTACGTACCTTCCAAGCACACCAGACAATCTTGCAGAGACAGAAAGGATACCATAGCAAATTGTTATCGAGAATTTACGCTGTGATGTTACTTTATCTTAAGTACTCTGACTAAACGAGTGACCTATCTAATTATCACAAAAGAGTAGCGACCTTCCGAGATGTTTCTCCCTCTTTGCTTCCTCAGGACCTGGTGGCATAGTTGAATGGTTAATTAAAGTACACAAAGTAACGGTAATGACACTGTAACACGTTAGAAGCATATCATCCGCAACATCCAGCACAGATTACTAATTGCGAAGGAAGCGTCACAAAACGGGAATTTTAATCTTTTTATACAAAATTTACGACCTCTTCGACGAAGTTTCCACAAAAACTTTAGAGTGTGTTTCCAACTGTGCTTACTTAGCTCCATTGTCCATGGTTTTAAGTTGCAGATTTTTCCATCTGTTTTCCAGAGTATTTATCTCTGTTTCGTAGCTTTCAGCTCTTTCAGGATCTACGATCCTTTCGGTCAGCAGCCTATCGCTGATTCCTATTGCGTTCTTGAACGTCGGCTCAAATGAAGAAATTTCTTCCTTCAACTCCTGTTCAAAAAAATAACCAAATAGGTAATAAAAAAGCAATCAACGGAAAGATAGACAAATCGCGAAAATTTTAATCTAAAATATCAACCTTCCAACCGGACGAGAATGGACGATAACCTATCACGATAAAAAGAAAATGATACCGAATGTTGCGAGGTAAACAAGACACTCAAATAAGTAGAAAGTCATACCCTGTGCCTGCCATACTCTTCCATGACTGAACCAATGTCATCCTCATTCACAACTATAGAATCTGCTTGTTTCTCAGCATCACTCAGCCAATCATAGACCTCTTCCATTAATTCTTCATGACGAACTATCAGCGCTTGATTTAACCTACAAAACCAGGTGAATAAAAGTTATCAACTGCGCAAGTATTTACTTCAAATTACGGCATACTCCCGGCGTTTCCCGTCACTTAGTTAGTTAGCCGATCAGTCGGTCTTTTAGTCAGGCAGTCAATCATAGTCAGCCGATGGGTCCATATGTCGCTCAGTGGACTTTTGTTCCATATTATGTGCCGAAATCTCAAACGCAGAAAATCGGCTTACTTTTCATGATTGGCATCATGGTTTTTGTTCAGTTCTGCCCACTTCTCATCAAGTGCTCCTATTCTTCTCTGGATTCTCACTCGGTCTTCATCTCTGAGTAAATCTGTTTCCTTACAGTTCACAAACTGGTCTTTGATGTCATTAAATTTTGCTTCTTCTTTATCTAGGTCGTTTTCAAATTCCTTTTAAGATGAAGAATAACACACTGGTAAGCGTTTCAAAATGACTATTTAGAACCCTGAAAAGAACGATCGAGCGAACGAGCGAACGAGCACACGAGCGCTCAACCGAAGGAACGGACGAGGGAAAGAGCGAATGAGCGAACAAGTGAATAATCGAACACAATTGAGCAAACAAAGTAAAAAACGAACTGTTGAACGAATGAGCGAACAAATGAGCAAGAGAGCCAAAAGAAGAAACGAACATTTGAGCCAGACAGTTCTTCAGGACAGAAAACATGTTTGCGAAATGGCAGGTGATGCACTCTTTAAACTTTTCTATAACTTAGAGATATCGCATGTCATGGCTTTCACGTTCATGAAGTCTCACCTGCAACTCTTCCAACTGTTTTCCGACCTCCTCGATATCAGAGCCAATATCAGTAAAATTGTTCACGGACTCCTCTTCAAGTCTCTCGACGGCTTCTTCACAATCGGCCAATGAGCGGCCAAAGTACTTCAAAGAGGCTTCTTTTATCCTGTTCAATACATTTGATTAAATCACATTCGGTTAACGAATAAATGGATACACAAACTCTGTCTTCATTATAAAATAACGAATGAAACACGAAAGGAAATTGTGCCACAGAAATAAAATTTCTCCGATGCAGTTTCAAAACTACCAACGCACTAGATCCAAAAATACCAATAACGCATTCTAAAGGCACTCATTCTCAGTCTTTTTGGATAAGACTGAGAATGAAACTTTTATCTGTAGTAAGTGAGCTTTAAATCCCAGATGTAATCGAGTGCTGTAACCTCTACTTAGTGTAACAGGTATCCCACAGGCGATTAGAATACAAAAAACTTAGTGGTAGGGTTCTATCTTAAATACTTGGAGAAGCATTATGTAGGAGCCAAAGGGAGGCATTTTAAACAAGATTTTGGGGGTTCCAGGACTCATAGTTTCCTTACTTGTCCCTTTTCTCTCTTGTTCCTTTTTCAAGCTCAGAAACTTGTCTGTTAAGTTCGTCTATTTTCTTTCCTATCTCATGTTTGTCGTCGGGCTGTGTCTCCTCCTTTTCGATGACATGATGACCATCATTCGTTACTTCAAGCAGCTCCCTACTGAGGTCCTCGTTGAGCGAATTTTCGACTTCCTATTAAAAAGATGAAGACCAAATTTTCATCTCTGTACAGATTTTTTCGAACTGAGCGATGAAAGATAGCTTTCCTTTAATATGGTCACTGTCTTTGCTTGACCGTTACAATGACTACGGAAACTTCATTCTATTCTAAAAAAATGACGATTAGCGCTGGATCTCATCTCTGACGTGAATCGTTGCGATCTACAATCTCTAATCTTCGCGACACCTCTAATCTATGGAGGCAATAGTCTGCTTTGAAAGTAATATAAATCCTCGAGTTAGCACCTCCCCGCGAAAACGCCCCTCTTCGAATAGATGTGCCTTTAATTGGCAGAGATGTTTAATGCACAAAATGGCGCGCGTGTGATCGAACCTTTTTCAATGCAGTTTTAGTTTTGCACATGTGTACCTTTCTTGAGTGAAAGACTGGCAAATTGCTTCAAGTGAAGACTTGTTTGGCAGATAGAATGAAAAATAATTGATAAATGTCAGTGCTCGTATTAAAAAGTATTTTACCCACCTGGAGTTGCACTGCACTTTCTTGAATATCTTTAAAATCTGTATCGTCAACATCATCATCAATTTTCCTTTTAGCTTCCGTAACAAGCAAACCAAGAGCTATCGATTGCTCTCTCCATCGGCCAAGCCTGCCATCTGAATCCTTCTTTAGTATGTCCAGGAGAGCAGAGTCTAGCCTATATTGCATAAAGTAAGAAAATTGCTGAGAGGGTTAAACGCCCACAATTAAAGAATCCTAAGACGAGGGATAGCATCTAAATGCCTAAAAGATATGGGTAAGGGAGAGAGGATATAATGAATGCACCATGCGTCAGCCGATGAAAGGCACGGTGCTGGTTTCAAGTATCAACTCACAAGTTAAAGTTTTTTTAAGGATTGTACTTAATATAGGAAAGAACACCGAATACTAATCTTAGTCCCCGAATTATTGGTGATCAGGTGATCTTCAACAAAAACTTCCGCTATACTGAGTTCAAAGTTCATGTGTGTACGCCCTTGATTCTAAGGCCCAAACAACCCAAAGTGACATAACGCAATACTCAGCAACGCCTTTCACACAAGCAGGTAAGCGGCACCGAGAATTCTGGTACTGATCTCAGTAGTTAGAGTCACTGTATCAACTTGTGAGAAACCCATCACCTCTCTGCACCAATGAGTTTACAATTTGTAACTGAATACCGAAAACAATCAGTAAAAGCTGACGAAAAAAATGGGGTGCTTGTATAAACTATACTTTTACCCTTGGATGCCCCAAGAATGAAATGGAATGGGATTCTGAAAGTCAGCACTGGTATTTTCTCGATAATCAACCCACGAAGACCTTACGAAGAGAGTATGAAAAACATGTGACAGATCGAAAATCGTAGACGGGTCATTGTCACTCAATGTTGTTGAAAATTTGCAGTTCGTGGCATTAGCAAACGGTTGAGTCACTTACTTTCGTTGCCTCTCATTAAGGTGATCATTGACAGCCTTCCATCTCGAATTGAGAGCATTTTTAGTTTTGTCAACCCCATCAATGTCTGTTTTATCCAGTCTGCTGCTCTCTACAAGTTCTTTGCTTTCCTCGACCATGGCGTCTACTTTCGGTTCATAGGCCTTTATTTCTTTAATAAAGAGCTGCACAAACCGCGTAACAAACATTAAAGTCACATAGATAACTGAAGAAGAGCTCTTCAAAAATAGGAATAATGCAATTGTAATTCGTAGTCAGTGGCGTATCTACTGGAGATCCTGAGATATGACACGGGGGGAGGGGGAAGGGGGTAAGAAACTAAGGTCTGTAGTCACTGCGCTACAAAAAAGCAAAAACGGGTTATCTGCTAGTTTTCATAAGCCGACTCAAATCGTTATTTCTAAGCGGCAAAGAAGATTCAAAACGATATGATGTCATATTTAATACTGGAATATTTAAGCGCTTAAAAGGATCTTACTTGATTATCTTTGATTTGCTCTTGAAGGACTCCAATATCTGATCCAATCTTCTCCTCGTTCTTAATGAGCTTTTCTGACTCTGACAGCCACTGATTCATGTTATCGCATTTTTCACGCCAGGAGTCGAATCTCTTGTATTCGCTTTCAATGTCTTCGGCTAATTTCTCAAGCCTAGAAAGGGGGGAAAATGATTAAACTTTTTTAAACTGTAGTTGACGATAATGTGCTCTCATCTTGATACTTTGATGATGACAACCCATGGTCTATCAAAAAATGCTATATTTTTCCTGCAAAGACCTCCCAGGAAAGGAAATCGAATGCTATTTCGTATCAAGAGCTCTCGGCTAACTTAGAAGTCTTACCAATAAGAACACTTGAAGAGAGTCAGTAAAAAATATATTTATAAACAATACGACACGATAAAATAACACTCCAGAGAAGTTGGTTTTATGACAAATGTGATTTGGTTTCGATGCAAAAAACATTTATGGCAATAAACATTCACGAACCATGATAAATTGCTGACTCTGTTTTCATTGACTAGCAAACGTCATTAATTTAAGAGACGGAGGATTTGGCGCTTTTTAGGAGGTCAGTCTATTGTTTGTCACTCATTTTAGCAGTATCAATACAGTTAGAACTCTTTTTGTTTCAGCGTAAGCGTATCTGCGATAATCAAACATATCATGCATGTTAGAAATATATCATAGGTGCTCCTGTATTCCTCCTCTGTATTCCTTGCCACAAAGTAATAGAGCAAGCTTAGTACCACATTTTAAATATTTCATAACCTTAATCGTTAGTTTGGAAGAGGGTTATAACTAATGAGAAGAACACAATAGATGCTTTCTTCTAAGTATTCATTGGGGAGTCTTAGCCCATTTGATGAGCGCAATAAGCTTTAAGACATAAGGAATTGCTCGATCAATTTTGGTCTGAAATTGAATTCCTCAATGAGATACACATTTTGTCCTTTAACTTTTGATGTCCACTGTGTCAAGTGTTTTTAATGCTGTTCGCCGTTGGTCGAGTTAGTTTATACTACACTTACTTAACCAAGCATAATCATTGAAAAGTATACCTGCTCTGCATTAAGTCAACTGTTTCGAAGGCTAAAGCCAATGATTTTTCAAAATAGTCATCGCCTGTATCCATGCTTTGGTTAAAACCTAAAATCTTGTTAGAACTTGTTTACGCCAAAACGCTCTTTTGGCAACTTAGGAATCTGATCTTAATGCGTATTTTCATCTTGAATTGCCGTTGTCACGGAAAAGCAAACAAACGTCACATTTAAGGTAATACACTACTAATATTTGACGTTCACACTTCTGTTTACGAATAAACCAAGTTAATTTACATAGACGACTTCGTGATTTTCCGTGTAACTGTGAATTTATCAAACGGCGAAAGAGTAAAGAAATGTACAAGTGGAGTCATTCTTTAATTGATTACTCGTCTTTAAAATCAATGATTATGATTGTTAAATAAGAACGTCTTGAAGGCCTCAACGCAGGAACAATAGAAAAGTTATTTCCAAAGAGAAAAGTTTAGATGGTACCAAGATGAGGTTCTCCGTTTTGATGTTTTCAACTTCCCCATCTGTTTTAATCTAAAAGCAGCTTCTACGTAGAGGTGAATGCAGTATTTTTTTTTCCAGTTGAATGTTCCATGAATAATGCTCTTACTATGACACAGAAGTTTACGCCTTTGGTGCTGTACTAGAACGTGAGTCGTTTGCTTTTATTATAGTGCTACCTAGTTAAACAAGTGCAAAGACTAATTTTGAGTTGAGTGTCGGAAATGAAACAGGATGGCCTTGGTTCTTGTTAGTTAACACTGCTCCGTGATCGGCAGATCGGATAGAGAATTTTCGCCTCCCTTTAAAAGCTGAGCTTTGAAAGATGGAAATAAATAAATGAAAATGATTGGACAAAATATATTTTAAAAAAAGAATGACGACCCAATTAAATCTGCAGCTCTAAAATAGACGCACGTAACATGCTCGAGGCCGAGAACATCGCAAACACCAACCTTTTCTCGCGCTCAATGACATCAATGTTCAACCCATTCCATCGATGATTCAAGTCCGTCATTTGATCGTGTACTTCATTAGCTTGTTCGTTTTCCAGCAAACCACTGTCAATGGCGCTCCTACCCAAGGTGAAAACTTCATCTGCATCTTTTTGCCTGGTTGATGCATCGGTCATTATGTCCTGAAAACAAAATAGGGAAGTAAGCTTGTGAAGAACACCTGTAACCCTTTGAAATCAGTCCACTGGGATAAACTATCGTCGGTTAAGTGATTTTGCTGCCCAGCGAGGTATACTAATGACTCGAGCATTTCAAGAGTTATTTGTTTATGATTAATCGCTGCTTATCCAGAAAATCAGCCGAAAATAGTTTGTTTTTATCCAGAACAGAACACGAGGCAACTCAGTAAAAATTTGACTACCAAATGCAGCCACTAACAAAATTAAATTGTGTCAAAATTTAGCGGCTCCAATTTTGCACTAAAAAGGCTAGTCACAAACGTATAATTATTGGAACAGAAGTCGTAGTTCTCTTTACCTCATGATCTTCCAAGAGGTCGACAACTTTGTCTAAATTGACCCCATGTTCAGCTCCGACTCTGGAATTTCCACGAAATCTGGCGGTGATTGAATGTACAGCATCTTTTAAAGCCTCGAGAATCGACCACTTTCGGTTTTTCTTAGCTCGCTGAATATCTTGCAGCCTTTCTCTGACCCTGAAAAATCAAGCGCCACTCTGTGTCAAAAAGCAAACAAACAAACCAACAAAAAAATCATCACAAAGGAAGAATGAATTAGTCTACAAAAGAAGTGGGAATAGGTAGGATTTTTCATAGGATAACGGGTGTCATTTTGTGTACCGTCAAGAAAAGGGGCTGGGAGGGGGGAGGGCTGTTAAAGGGCCCTGCTTTACTGGTAAACAAGGGATAATTCTGCTGGAAAAGACCGCAAACTTTGTAAGCCGAAAAGGAATAGTTATTTGTACTTACATTCTAAGGTTCGCGTTGCACTCATCTACGGTGGGTTTCCACTCATTGTTGTTTTCTCCTCGTTTCTTTGTCAGTTCTGGTGACCTGATCTCCGGGAGCCGCCTCTCAAAGCCAATCTGTGTCACAAGAGAGGAAATCCGGAGTAGAACAAATTATTAGCCTGGAAACTCACTTTCATCCCAATGTGGAGTGATATATGGTCTTCCCACCCGTCGAAACGTTTAAACCTTCATAGCCTAAAATTATCGCAATTTTCATGTCACCTGTGTCTACCACAACTTCACGCCACATTTTCTCTGGGACTTATTAACCGAATACTCATGCAGTTGCCGTAAAACGCTCACTCGTTGAGGACAAACTATTTCTCTTTCGAAAATCATAACAGGCCAAGATGCTGATCACTAGCTTGGACATTTGCTTTTAAGATATCGATACTCTTATTGCGGCTCTCATAAAAACCAAAGCATCGCTAGCGCTCTCACCTCCTTCCCAATAGCTTCTTGTTCTTTCAGTTTATCTTCTGCTTTTTTCAAAGATTTTTCAAATCGAGCAGATCTGTCATTCCATTCGTCGACTATTTCCTTTTGGTCTTTTTGAAGCTTGGGAATCTTCTTCACGATCCTGAGAAGACAAATTATAATTTAGAAACGTTGGTGGTACGCAATATTTACACTGAAAAACTGGAAATTTTATATAGTTAGAACTGTTTTATTTGGAGGGTTAGGAAATAATATGTCTTTTTGATGTGCGATACACTTCTTGTATTCTCTTGAGAGGTTTTTTTAGATTGCCAATCAATAACCCCCTTTTCTTCCACTACAAAACTAATGACACATCTGAAATGAGTGGGCATGAAATTTCGAGCCGGTTGGTTCAGATCAATTATAAGAACCCTTAGAAAAACGTTTTTGATTTATTTGCATGCGGTTGACTCTCGACTACGCTAGTGAAATTCATTATCAACTGACTAGAAATTTTAAAAGATTGAGATACTCTTAGTTCACCTCTGAGGAGGAAGAAGAGAAGGCTGGCTTAGGAATCGATACCAATTTCCGCTGCTAATTGCTTCCAAGTTAATTGTACCATTAATATGAACTGAGTGTTAACTGCCAACTATTAAAAGCGTGTCTCTGGCGTGAGATAACCGAAATAAGTTACTAATTTACCGGTCCATACGATCTGTGGCTTTTTCCAACACGTCATCCCACTGTTTTTCGCAGTCCTCTGCGTCTTGTCGAAGAGCTTTGCTTTGCTCATTCGAAAAGTATGGGTCCTTAGATAATCTGTACGCTGTATCCGTTGCTTCAGTGAATCGTGGCTCGTAATCATGTAGTCGTTTGGTTAATAGCTGTGGAAACGTTAAAGACTCTGTGAAAGAATATCTGAAGAGAATACACACCTACCCCTCCCATAACCAAACATTTATCCAAGATGTAGTCAGTTGACTGTTGTGAAAAGTCGACCGACAGACACTTTCATTGATCCGAATACTAATTTGTACCTATCTCGTTTTCTTGGTTTGTATTGTAAGTTACAGCTCGAGTTTTAGCGCGTGCGCTTAGGCCACAAACAAAAGGAAAACGTTTTTTTTTTTTAAATCAATTTTAGGGGCAAGAAAAAAAATGGAAGTGAAAATGATCAACATATGAATAATTCAAATGACATGATGTTTTCTATAATAGATATCTGTATATTTACCTTCATGTCTTCTTTCTGTCGTTGTAAAGTTTTCGGATCGTTTCCTATGGGATCCATAGTCTCAATTTCTTTATCCCGAAGTCCAATCCAGTCCTTCACTGCTTGTAAGTTAACCCTGCACCCGGTAAGCTCGCCGGCTTTCTGTTGTTCTTTATCCCAAAGCTTCCTTTTTATTCTAGCATCAGATAATTCATAGATATTTTAATCACTAAATCAAGACCTGCTAAGGGCACAACAGGTTAATACGGCTTCAAAACGTGAGTTGACTGCCGCGTCGTCTTCTTTCAGCTTAAAAATTAACGAATCGTGGTATTTAATGGTTGGTTTAGAAGTAATGCTCAATTATGCTGATATCTGGACCAAAGCACATACTTCAATTCTGCAGTTCTTTTTTAAAGTCAGTTATTGCGAGGATCAATTTACCATTTATAATCTACAGTTCAAAAATTTGTCAATTCTTATATCCTTTAAGTTATTCCTTTACCGGTTTTTCTTGACATCTCTATCCGTGTTGAAAGAGCGCCACTGGCCCCTCAACTTATCCATATCTTCGCTGACGTCTTCATGCTGCTTTTCAGATATATGTTTGTCCTTTATCAGCGCTTCATAGTCTTTCTCAAGATTATCGAACTTTCTTTCGTAGTCAGGAATTTCTTTTTCGAGGCTCTAGAATTATCAAAGAATGAAGATTTCTTACACCTCTAATCGCAATTCCTCTTTCGAAAACAGCAATAACAAATTCAAGACATGTTTTACTGATATCAATAACAGAGGAGCAAATTTTGTTGATGACGTTGATAATTTAATAACATCGTTAACAAGAATGACTTCGTTAAGTAATCGCGTCAAGTCAAAAAAAATACGATTTAGGGTATAGTGCAAGGTTAGCACTTATTCAAATTTGCAAATTCATTTAATCTGACTTTGCAATTAGTAAAAGCTCAAAACTCACCACAAAATGGCTTTCTTTGTCTTTAAGAGAAGCAATGGTGTCATCGTTAGTTTCGTCGGGTAGTTTTTCGTCTTGATCCTTAAGCCAGCTGTGAGAATTGAGTTTGTATATCATTTTTCAAACGTCAACGCTTTTGAAGTCTTTCAGAACCGTAAAGCAAACTAAACCTAAAAAGTTAAGCCTATTCTTCTCAGTAATTAGCTCTATTCCATGCTTAATTTACCCCCTTTCATCTCATTATCCCGTCGTCTCGAAACCTTCTAACTTTTAACAAGTCAACTCTCGTGGCACTTTTTAGCACGTAAGGACATATCTAATAAGAACTATTGTGAGAATTTGTGAAGATCACAACGGTTTTCCATTGAGATGATTAGTTCGTTGATTCTCGTGCCCTTGACTTCAAATGTAGAGTTTAGGTGTTGGTTATCCTTGGAGCTTAAATGGTTAAAACCCTATAATCTATATCCAGGTGTAGTACTTACACGCTTATATCGTTTGCGTCGTTTTTCCAATCCTGCAGCCTTCCATCAAAAACAAACGTATCAGGTTCGGCAGCAGCCTCGACGATGTCTTCGTCGACAGACACGACTACCTCGTCCACGGGAGTGGCCAAAAGGCTGGTTTCCTCTTCCACCTTTGGAATGTGAGGTAACGGCCCGAGGCTAAACCCGAACCCTTTATTCTACGAGAGAGAAAGAAAAATTAAAGATATTAGTAAGGAAAAAGGTGTTTGAATATAACATACTAAAAAGATAACGATATAAAAGTAGAGTCGATATTAGATAATAATATCGATATTAGATAAACATTAGATAGAATCTAATGTTTCGTATCCGAAACATTAGAAGAAAATGTTTGGTTTTTTTTATCCATAATGATAGATCACTCGTGCAAAGGTGCGCTGTGCACTATATAAAAGTAGAGTCGATATAGCTAGGACGTATCCGAAACATTAGAATAAAACGTTTGGTGTTTTTCATCCATAATGATAGATCATTCGTGCAAAGGTGCGCTGTGCTGTTGTGACCTTTTTCCTGTTGATATTGTCTTCTTCAGCTTCCGGGACTGATGCAACCTCTTCCATCTTTGGAAGGTGAGGTAACGGCCCGAGGCTAAACCCGAACCCTTTATTCTACGAGAGAGAAAGAAAAATAAACAATATCAGTCAGGAAAAAGGTGCTTGAATATAACATACTAGTAAGAAAACTATATAATAGTAGAATCGATTGAACTAGGACGTATTCGAAACATTAGAAGAAAGTTTGTGGTGTTTTTCATCCATAATGATAGATCATTCGTGCAAACGTGCGCTGTGCTGTTGTGACCTTTTTCCTGTTGATATTGTCTCCTTCAGCTTCTGGGACTGACACAACCTCGTCCATCTTTGGGCTGGCATTTAGTGTAGTTTCCTGTTTCACCATCGGGATGTGAGGTAAAGATCCAAAGTTTATGAGGAAGCCTTTTTTCTACACGGGAAAGAGTTGCTATATAAAAGGTGTTTTGATAGACGATCGTTAAGAAATAAAGTGGACAGAACTGTGTCTTAAACATGACAAACAAACGGTGAGTAATTCTCATCAATAGTGACATATCAATAGTAAGAGGATGCGTTGTGTTGCTCTAGCGCTAATGTAAGCTGTTTTCGAGTCATCTCCGATGCAAATTGCTGAAACTTCAAAAATAGTCTATGACCCTTTTATGACAATTTCCTTAACAGGCGCAGGCCAGTTCAGGCTCTAAAAAAAAAAAAAGAAACACTTGGCGAGTAATACAAGTAGAAAGAACAAAACGGGCGTAAAACGACCAACCTTTTGTTTTTCTTCCTCCTTCCTTTTCTTTTCGTCTTCCTCCAGTCGCTTCTTTTCCTCTCTTTCTTTCTTCTTTTTCTCTTCTTCCTCACGTTTTTTCCTTCTCTCTTCCTCCCTTTTCTTTCTCTCCTCCTCCTCCTTTTTCCTGCGCTCCTCTTGCTCTTTCCTCCGTCTTTCTTGTTCCTCCTTCCGCTTTCTGTTCTCATCTTCTCTCTTCTTCCGTTCCTCTTCTTCTCTCTGTTTTCTTTCTTCTTCCCTTTTCTTCCGGTCTTCTTCTTCTTTTCTTTTTCTCTCCTCCTGTTCCAACTTCCTCTTTTGTTCTTCTTCTCGTCTTTCTCTCTCTTCCTCTTCTCTCCTCTGCCTTGCTTCTTCCTCTCGTCTCCTTTTCTCTTCTTCCTCCTTTCGTTTCCGTTTGTCTTCTTCCTCTTTCCTTATCCTTTCCTCTTCTTCCCTCCGTTTCCGTTCTTCTTCTTCCTTGCGTTTCCTTGCCTCCTCTTCCCTTCTCCTTCTCTCCTCTGCCTCTTTCTTTCTTCTCTCTTCCTCTTCCTTTCGCCTCCTTTCCATGTCGATTTGCCTCTGTACTTCTTCCTCTTCCAGCATTTTTCTTTCATCTGCCAGTCGTTTTTGTTCGTCTTCTAATATTTTTAGCCTGTCTTGGATCCTAAGAACGTCAAATACAACTGTGAGAACACTTTTCTAGAAGAGGATATATTTCAAACTTCCAAGAATTTCAATAATTCAAAGACTGAAACCAAACACTATGTTTACCACCTTAACATGATTTTAGGCATAGGAAGTCAGTCACATACAAGCCGATGAATGAAGGGGGTAAGTTTCAAAAGAAACCGTTGTACTGCGTCGGTGGAAGCTGAAGCGTTAGCCCTTCATCTTCGGCTAACTCGAAACATCTGCTCAGAAACCCTTCACGGTGGCCAATTTCCGTTATCAACTCATATACAAGGTAAGTTTGCTTAGAATTTTCTCATGCGAGAGTTTTTGGTATTATTTACCCAGGAACCGTTTCCCCTAAATAGAAATTTTTTGTAGCTTCTTTAGTTTCTGTAGGATTCTGTAAATCATATTTTTAAGGTTTCAAATATTACTGAAGCCTTAGGTCTTCCTACTGTTACTTAGAAGGTCAAAAACAAATGCAATTTTTACGAAAACAATACTGTTGATTCAAAGAAGTGGCTGGTACCTGTCATGTCTTGAAGTGGCTGACTCATACAGCCCGTCCCATCTCTCGTGGAGACTTTGCATGTCTTTCTGAATCTTTACCCTCTCTTCTAATCCTACACAAGGCTCCGTTGTCAGCTTATTCCCAAAGTCCGTCATCTCAGCGAATTTTGGCTGCTCTTGAAGAAGTTCAGTGATCATTGCCTATTAAAAAGAAATAGACCCGATGAGATCCAGTATCTAGTCCCAAAAGCCCTTAATTCACCATCTCTTCCTCTCTCAGCCACTGTTAGAACAACATAGACTTTTAAGCTCTTCTTTAGAAAAAACATCGTTTACCTTCCGGACAGAGTACAGGAGCTATAGTGAAGTTAAATTTTAAACATAACCTGTTTAAAACATTGATAACGCTGTTTTCCATTTAATTTCATTAACTAGTGAACTTGTTCTCACACCAAACAATTAGAAAATGCCCCAACCTGTGCGTCTTTTTCTTGTGTTTTTACATAGCTGATGTCGTATCCGATTGGCTCGTGGGACTGAACAGTTGTCTCATTCTTTATCAGCCATTTATCAAGGGGATCCGTTTTTTCTGGCCAGAGCTTCATCTTTTCTCCTTGCTCTTTCTCCATTTGCTTAATTTGATCATCCAATCTAGAACAGAAGCACAACAACATGCTTATTTCTACGGGACATGACAAAAAATGCATCTTCTCCCTAGAGGGGGTCTAAGTAGAAACTCATTCTTTCAAGATCATTGGATATTTCTCGGACTTACCCCTCGGGCTAATATCCAAATCGAATACTTTTTTATGGAAAAAAATGCGCACCAGTGAAAGCAATCATCTCTCAAAAAGTGTGGCTTTATGGTGATTCTCATGAGTACAAATGATAATAGAAAATCTTGAGTTTGTTGTTAGGTTTTCAGTTTAAGTACTTTATTTGGAAAGAGGGAATTTGTTTGGATATAGCACGATGACATTCCTCATATCAAGTATTTCTCACTACAAGTACATATTAACAGCAACGAACCTGTTTTTTGCAGCCTCCGTTGATGCAAGAAGTCCTTTATAGCGTTCGATAATGGTAGCTTTTTCATTGTTAACCAAGTTCCTCTCCAAGTCACGCATACTCGGGTCGTTAGTAATCTTGTCTCCAAGTTGATCTAGCTTGTCCATCTGATTGTCGTGCCGTTTTATTTCTCGCAAAATGTCCTAAAGTGATTTGGAGAAAAAGAAAGATGATCTTTTTATCAAACGAAAGGCAACACCTAGCACACTAAAATCGTGAACACTACTTAGCAAAAAGATGGGCATTCACAGACCTCAATTTCCTGTCTTTGAGCCCGCGCGTGATCGAGATCCGGAGGAGTTACATCTTGAGCTTGCACACGCGCAGAGGTGTCAGATAACCACTTAAGAGTAGAGTTACAAGAGTTCTTCCACTGCCCTAACAAATCTTTTTGACGTTGTTGTAGGCTGAGATGCTTATCTTCGATTCTGGAAAAGAAATAAACAGAGCTCTTCCATATATAGTTGTCTATTAAATGGACCATTTCACAACATTCCTAGTTTTATTTCCCTTACAAACCTCTGTTGTCTCGCGTCAAGATCGAACTTTACTTTATTCCAACGTTTTTTGAAGACTTCAGCCTCATGCTCCACAGTCTCCAAATCCTTTTCGGGGACGTCACTTTGGTCGATCAACCAGTCAGAGTTCTTGAGAAAGTCGTCAACTTGTGGATCCAGTACGTTTACAGTTTTCTTCAGTCTCTGCAAAAATAAGCAAGCTCCATTCACATCGTGGAAACTGAACAACATCTCAAATAATTTGTCCGTAAACAGCACACAACGTATTCTCGTTTGACCCACCTGAACTTCAGTCTTCTGTTTCTCCAGCGCGTCGAAATCTGGAGCAATTTCCTGCTCACAGACGCTTTCAACTTTCGCAGCCTCCACCTGGATTATGTCAAATTGGTCATTCCATCTCGAAAGTTCACCCTCAGTTTTCTCCAAGTTTGTCAGTTGTTCTTCCAATCTGCAAATAAGGATAGAGAAGCTTTCAAACATTTTGCTAAGTTTTTAGTTATTCTCAGGTGTCTGATATTGAACAGTTGATGCTATTGCTATTCTTTTTAAATAGGGACTATTTACAAATAACTTCGAATACTCGCTCAGTTTTCCTTCTGAAAAAACATGTTGTGTTGCACCGCTTTGAACTTTTTTGGATCATAACGCAGACGCTCTAAAAGTCCAAAAGATAAGTCATAAAGTTTCGCTCGAAACATCGCGATAATTTTTCGGAAAACAAGAAACGAGTTCTGACGATGTTTGCTTGCATGCTGTTTAAACGTCAGTGCAGTTACCCATGCTGGTGGTCATTAATCTTTTCGACGACCCTTTCCCATCTTTCAAGGCGGTCGTCTTTATCGTGCTCCATGCTCTGTTTTGATCTCTCGTCAATTACAGGGTCTGCTAGTAATTCGACGGTGAAAGTTTCGAAGTCATCTACTTTCTTCTGCTGTCCAATAAGCTGATTCGTTTTCTAAACATAATAAAAGGCATGCTTCGAGAACTCGTCAAAAAGAATGTACTTTTATTAGAATTTTAGTTTGAAGAACATGGAAACTAGGTGTTGTTGTTGTTGTTTTTTTTTCTTATCAGTAACGCTGTTGAGGGAAATCCGAACTTAATCAGTACAGTTTTGAGTTGCACAGGGTGCAAGAGCCGTGCAGAGGTTGCCTCCCTTTATGAGGGCGTCTTTGGGGTCTTCCGCTCGTAGATTTGTTTTTGTGATAATAAGGATGCCTGGATCAGGATATCCACCCCCGAGATTGCAGACTCGGTTTATAGCTTGGCGACCTCTCTCACCAACTCTTCAGCCAGTCAACTACGCCAATGGCACAAACTACATTTTTTTTTAATTAAATCCTCAGTTGATAACAAAACTCATTCGATTCTTTATTTTCGATATCGTACCTGGAAATCGTCATATTGTCTTTGAACAGTCTCCAGGTCATCTGCTATTGGCTCTAGCCTCTCTGTTTCTCTCTCTGCCTTTCGTAAAAAACTATCGAAGTGATTAACCTTTTCTTCCCACTCATCGAGCTTCTTCCGTCTGTCCCTCTGCATCCTCTTGGAAGCTTCATCAAGTCTTAGATAGAGAGAAAATGGTAGAAAAAATAGCTAGTCGAAACCATATTTCGGTTATTTTTGAAAACATATGGAAATAGAGATTAAGGAGATCAGTACTGCAATTTTTGAAGGAAGAATAAAATTTTTAGCAAGGTCTTGAGTTTGATAAACAAGAATAATTTTCAAACTATTTACCAATTCCAACCCAGCCATGTCAGGTAGCTTAGTATGGAATACCAGTAAGCCATGCATGTCATTATGAAACAAATAGTAAAGATACATTTGAAAATGTCGTTATAACCTTGAGATATGGACCTACACCTGTATGCGTCGCATACCTTTCTTTTCTCAAGGCAACAAAATCCTTTATTCGGTCCCAGCGTGCTGTCAAAGAATTGAGATGTTCCACCACCTCATCTTTCCTTTTCTGGGTAAGCTTGGGATCCTTTTTAACTTTCTCTCCCAAGGCAAGAGTGTCAAGCATTTGAGTTGTGTTCAGTTCCATTTCATTGGAAAATATCTGCAGGGTAAAGAAACCAGATAAAAATAAATTCTTTCACATTGAAGAAAACAGTTTGGTCACTTGAACAAAACGTATGTGGGCAGTGCTTACAACATAGGCCTTATCGATTTGAATCAAATTGAAGATGTTCTCCATCTCCAGAGACAACATCTGCTCAATGGCAATCTAGACCGAACAAGACCACGGGACAGCGAAGTCATGTATATGAAGAGTTAATCTCTTAAGTGAGTAGAAGTGGAGGTAAATGATTAATGAATGGTTAAAAGCCGACCCTTATGTACCAAACATGTCATGTGTTGCTTTTCAACAAAACAGTTGTTAGTTGCAGTAAAAATATGAATGTGCTGACCTCAAACGCGTCCTCCTGTCTCCTGACAGTCTCTATGTCATTCCCTATAGGGTCATCAATAACAGATATCTGACCCTCCAGTTTATCTAATGCAAGACCCGCTCTTTCTGAGCGAATCCTCCATCGCTCTAAAGCGTCCTGTTCTTGTCGTTCCAATTTGTTGAGGTTTTCTTCCATTCTAAAACAAGAAGAAAAAAGAATGCAAGATTTCAACATGTGGTCAATAAATAGCCGCATTCAAATGATCTTCTTCTAAAGTGCAATATCGTCTAACTGTGTTTAGATGTAGATAAAATTATGCTCCCAACATAATAAACCCTCCGAAGTTCCAGATTGTAACCCTCTACCTTGGGTCAAGCGAGCCACCAAGTCAGGTGCTAAAGAGTATTATATACAAACATTCAGTTACCTGGCCTGCTTAGCATTAGCGAGATTAACCAGATCGTTCCAATTTTCATTACAGATGACAGTTTCCTCGCGGACACCTCGCCTCTCTTCTTCCCCAAGACATGGGTCAGTAACGAGGTTGCCACTGAACTCGTTTAGGTGAGTTACCTTTTCTTGATAACCTGGAGCGTCTTTGATGATTTCCTTAATTGAAATCAAAACATAGAGTATCAGCACATTCGTTGCTTCAAGTCGCTCATTCTTAGAATCATTCGCAAAATTACTCAATCTTAGAATCGTAAGGCCACAGGATTACAGCAAAGAAATTGATGGACAATAAGAGCCTTACGTGAAGAAAGAACCCTAAAAAGGAAATATTTGAGACAAAACAACAACAACGAGGAGATTAAAAACAACAGCAAACCTGAAAGTCATCTATTTGTTCCAAAGCAGCGTCCACATCGGTAGCCAGTCTCTGTTGGGCTTCAACCTTAACTCTTGTCTTCACTACCCATCCACTGACCTCATCAAGTCCCTCATGCCATTTCTGGAGCTTGTCCTCTTGCTGCATCTTGAGTTTTGAGATAGTGTCGTCAATTCTGTTTGTAAGAGGTTGGCAGAGTGAGAAGAGCTGTCTTATAAAACGTTGAGGAGTCAAGAATTATCTTGGACCGGTTGCTCCAAGCATACTTTCCGGTGATTTAGA